ACAAACGCGTACTGAGTATAAAAACAAAAAAAAAAAAAACTGAACAATGTGCACTAACCCTATAACACCGTCTCACTTAACACAAAAGAATGCCCATGATTGCAATTCTGTAAAACATGTGTGGACGAGCACTTCATACCAATCTGTACGTATATTTTAAAAATAAAATGAAGTCATTTTCGGAATAATAGTATCGGATAAAAAATTCTGGGCACCCCCCAATAAGTCATTGAAAAGATCCTGTTTCAACCCCATGTTCATTCACTATATACACATTGAACTATCACATCAATTCAAATAGAACAAAAACAAAAAACCGTTAGGTAAAAGAATAATCTTTATCAAAAATGAGAATTAATGGTGCATGTGAACCGGGCCTGAACAACCGAACCCGTACAATATGATGGAAATAAAGATGCATGAACAGCAGACTTATGGGTATAAAACACTACGCCAGAGATATAACGACAGGCAATGGGATTACAAAGAAGATAAACAACCCACTATCATTTGAGTAAATACAAGAAATAAAGTATCCAAAGTTTTATACGCTATGTTCACTTCAAGGCCATATGAAACATTTGCCAGCCCACATTAAGAAATAGATCACTACGCCATTCTAAGAATCCGATCATACCGCGCTACCGGATCTTCCTACATATAATCAATAAATCACGCCAATTAATAAATATTCTATTACGGTCCATTTAACAGCTATATTGACATTTATATAGGGCTACAAATATGAGCATGCTCTATTTGTAACCTTTTCCGTTCCTGTTTTGGCAAAGATTTATCATCTGAGCATTCCTCCACAATTCTTCGAATCACAACCCCAAAACTGTCCTCAATCTCTTGAAATGTAGTGTCGGTATCTTCGACCGTATCGTGTAAAATGGCGGCAGCTAGCACTTCTATATCAGCAACATCGGCTTCATCAGATAGAATATTTGCAACACCGATAGGATGATTTATATAGGGCGTCTTTTCAAAGTTCTTTCGACGTTGATTTTTGTGTTTAATAGCGGCAAAGTTGGCACACTTTATCAACAAGGTTACATCGGCCATTTTACCTTCATCAGAACGAGGTTACACGGTTTTATTACGAGTCAAAACGGTAAGGGGAACTATTTTTTCCAAAGTCAGTTCTACTGCATAAGTTTATTAACCAAGTTTATTAGAATGGAGAAATTAAAGAAGCTTTTTTCTGGCGAAAGTAGCGAAGAAGAGGAAACCAAAAAATATGTGGAGCAGCTTCGAGAGCTTTTAACACACGACTGTAACAGAGGCAAGAAGGAAGGTAGGCCTGATATGATAAATCTAATCTTGATAGTTACTTGATAATTTTTTGATAATGAGGTTAATGGCTGTTGAATCAACACCAAACTTGAAAAGGTAGATTGGCGGAATTTGGAAAAATCTTTTGGTAAAATCTCTTGGTCCTCAAGTTTCCACTAATTCTAGGTCACAGAAAAAACTAAAGCCAGATTAAACATTACGACATGAGTTATATCTTGGTCCTTTAATGATTTTATAAAGAAAGAAGGTTTCTTAGAGGCCCAAGAAGCGAAACAACAGTTTGGAAAATATTTAAAACATGTTACGCAGGTATTTTTTTACTTGAAACCTGCTTTTAACCTTTAAGGCCATTAACGATTAAATAATAATGCTACTTTTTATGCTTTATTATAATTTCAATAATTGCAAACACTAATGACAGTTCAGTTCAGTTTTCATTATTTCAAATTCTACTACATTCAATTTATTGCCCCCCCTAGGGTAAAAGGGCCAGCTGCCCCTGCCCCGCCCCCTGCCCTGCTCTTGGATTGCCACCACATGCTCAAACCTATTTGATCTTTAGTCAGTATTTTGATTATGAGTATGTTAATTTTGAGCAAGTTCAGTTCAGATTAGAGTTCAGTTAGAATCAAGACATGCAAGAAGCACATTGTCTCTTATCTTGCTGTGTGCTCTTATCACTTGTTAAATGGGTTTTGCTGGGTTGGAAACAACACTAGTCAATGGATAGATAATTTAGTGGTTATATTGATCAATGTTCCAATGTACGTGAGCACCCCCTATTTTAATATAATTTAATGTAAAATTTATTACTTCAATTAAGAGTGTGACTAGGGGAGATGGTGACCTTCTAGTATCAATTATTCTAAGATCAGTTTTTGCAATTACTTTCAAAGAGGAAACTTTTGAGTTTACAACAAACTCTAACAGAATAGGGTAATTTTTTTATATCAATAGGAGTCCTATTCCAGCATCTATAAAGAGTTTCATTTCATACTGTTCAGTTTGGTCTTAGAGCCAAGAGAGTCACAATTGCAACACACATAAAGTAATTCCATTGCCATAATGCTCAAAGCGTTTTATCTCCTCATTTGGTGAAAGATTCCAGATTTTCAACCCAAAAAGCTGATAGAGTTTATTACAAGATTTTTTCATTTTTACCTACATTTTTTTTGGAAGATCATTTTTTGCTCAGTATTAATGACATAATTTCTTTATTTTTAGGATGTCATGAACTTGGTGAATTTTATCAAGTTGTTGAACAAAATGTAGAAGAAGCAAAGAATATATTTAAGACCAATTGCGAGGAAAGAAATCATGCTCACAGCTGTTTTTCTTTAGGATATTTGTTTTTTACTGCAAAAGGTAAAGTTTTCTGATGAACTTTTCATTTATCAAAATTTGATATTAAGGTTTCTTAAATGACTAGAAATGACTTATCAAATTTTTTTTTATTGATCAATTTTATTTGTTAAGCCAGCAAATTATCTTGATTATTCTGAATTTTTAGTGCATTTCGATTTTATTTCTTTCCAGAAAAAGACATTGTTAAAGCTTTGAAATACTTTGAGCGTGGTTGCAATGGTGACTCTATTGGGTCATGCAATAATGCTGGAATGATTTACCAAAGTGGCCATGAAAAGTCAAACATTAAAATGGACATGGACAAAGCTATAGGCAATTTTGATAAAGCTTGCACTGGAGGCCATAGACTTGGCTGCTTCAATCTGAGCTGTATTTACCTTACAGGAAAAAATGGTGCAAAAAAGGACCTGCCAAGAGCTTTTGAACTGTCACTTAAAGCTTGTGAATTAGGCCATCCTTGGGCTTGTGCAAATGTTAGTAGGATGTATAAAATGGGGGATGGTGTGGAGAAAGATTTAGAGAAGTCTTCTGAATTTAGGAAAAGAGCACAAGAATTAAAAGATAATAGCAGAGCATAGTTTGTAAAACATTATTTGTACAGAAAAAGGTGTGAATTGGTATTTTATTACTGAGTAATTTTTAGAAAATGTAATCTCAAGATGTGATTTAAGGTCCTCTCACTAGTTTTTTATGTGTGAGGATGACCCAGTTGTTATCCTCCTTGACTAAAGATCCTAAGGTCTGTGGTTCAGACCCCTGACATTGCCAAACTTTCACTTAGAGTAGGACGAGTCGTTAGCTCACATCATGAATCACGATCCTGGTAGGACATTGTTGCTATGGCATTAAATTAGGGACTTTTCCTATATGACAAGGCTGGTAACAATTGGAAGTATGATATGATTCTTGATTTTTTCATTAAACTCCCTAATCCATGAAATGAAGTCACAAATTTGTCTTAACTTTCGGCCAATATATGGCCACTATTACCTAGTAATATTGGGCAGCCCTTAGGCATTCGTTAAAAAAGAGAATATGTTGCTTATGTTTGTTAAACTCCCCGCGATGGGGTTCAGAAATAACGCATGGTCCATTGGCTTTCAACAGGACCGTCGCTATATCCCCCCCCCCCCCCACGTTTGAGAAAAAACTCCGTTGCAGAAACGAAAAGTTTTTGCCATTTACACCTCGAGACAGAAAACCCAGATAAGTACAAAAGGATTTCACGATCATGTACCCTTGGTACCAGACTCACTCTATGAAAAATAAGAGATTTTATTTAGAGTGAGCTGGTACCCAGGGTAACGATCACACCACATTTCAATGTGAGATCACCAAACAGTGGCGTAACGGTACAGTGTGGAACCCTTACTAAAGAAGCGTTTTGGACCCATCTGCTTAATTAAATTGTGTCAAGTTTTAGAGCCTATGTACTCGCTTTTTAGGGGTTTTCCTGAAAAGCCCAAAGAAAAAAATATACCACAGCATATGAAGGGATGATCCGCCGTCTAAGATATTTCTTATGGTCTTCATCTAAGCTTTGCCCGGATTTCCATGGATCGAATAACAGAGCCATAGCCTTGGAGCTGAAATGTTTTTAATATCTTTACTATAATACCTAGCACTAAATTTGGTAGAAATCTTCTTTTGTGAACTCGAATGAACCCCTAGCGGGCTCAGTCAGCTGATCCAATGTACATCATGTTTATTCCTGAAAGTAGAAACTGAACTCTAATCTTTGATTCAGGGTTGCGTTAAATGTACCCTTTTTCTGACTTTGAGAAAACTTTGCAACCCTTTTCACTGAGAATATTCAAGCTTGAGCAAGTGTTTTGAAACCAATTCTTGTAAGAACCATTCTATTTCTTAAACTTATGTTATGGTAATTCAAAAGGCATTGGTTTACCCAAAAAAGTATCTGTAAAATCATATCAGTAAATTCCTACCCTTTTTGTGGTTCCTCTGACTTAGGTAGAAAGCAACCCCCTATGTCCTATGTCCTATGTCCTATGTCCCTATGTCCTATTTCCTATGTCCTATGTCCGTTTCAAGATGAGCCCGCCGGGAATTAACCACCTGGTCGAGATGACCCATGCTGCAAAATCAATCTGCATAAGATCAGCATCAAGCACATCTTCACAAAGATGACCACGATCAGTTAGATAAGACTTTGAATGAAAAATCAAGCTTGCATGATTTGGCTTGAGTTATAGGTTGACTCGCACCTTCGTCGTTCTTTTCAGGAGTTTCAGAAGATTTATCAATGACAGGGCTCGTGACTTTATCTACGTGCTTTTCTCCCTGCGGTGGGAGACTTGAGCTGGGTAGATTTTGATCTTTGCTTTTTCAAAAAATAGCAAAAATTTTATTTGTGTTTGATGTAGTAGCAGCTCTTCAACTTTACCTTTCATTTCGGCTCTTTTGCTCGCACCAGATTCAAAAACACGCTATGGATTGGAAGACATTGTGAAATGAAAGCAATAACATTGATCGATGCGTTTGAAAGCATTTGTAGACTTGAAAGATAGACATTTTTATCAAATAGATTTTAGATATCTGTGATATCCTTGTAAATTGAATACAAAATTTTATAACGATATAGGTGTGCATTAGAGGAAAGCCTATTGACATGCTTTATCTTACATCATTATTATATGGTTGCTCACAAATCATATTTAGTCTTACGATCATTTCAATGCTGCTATGATTGCTACTAAGAAACATATGCTTTCATCCAAAAACCCTTTTTTCGAGAAACTTCTTGGGGGCCCCTTCAGGGCTTAAATGTTTGGGGGCCCTTAGTTTTGTGCTTAAAGGTGCACACCGTGTGAGAATTTAGAGAGTTTCCCACAAAATGCGAAGAAAAGAAAAAGGTGTGACAGGGCTCTTGATCCAGTAAATATGATCATAAATTTTCTAGTATTCTGAACAACGAGAAAGTGCAAATCTCAAACATTAGCTTCATTTATTTATATCTTGTTGTTATTCTACTCTTTGTGTGAATTTAACCCTTACTTCGAGGAGCTTTACCTTCTTTGATAATTTCTTTTTGCTCGATTCGATTCATATGTTTATCAGTATCATTCAAGATAAGATAAAGGTGTGTAGTCAGTGCGTATAGATAGCCAGCAGTTTGGATTGTATTATTGATGGATTCAAGTTGACGTCATCAATTTTGTATCTCGCTATCTACGGATCTTTTTCAAAAATGGACTTCAGAATTGAAATCTTAATCTTTAAATTAGTTTATACTGAAAAATTCATGTTGTTTAGACCGTTCGGTCGCATGTTACTTTGTTTCGAATAATTAGATATTTCTTTAGAGTTGACCGGAACTTTTTCTTGCTTTCGACCCCCCGTTTTTTTCTGTTTCACATCTGCTCACCAAAGATATACCGGATTTAGATTTTCAGATTCATATCGAATTGGAAGGGCAGTTGCATCCCCCTACCATACCCTCATTGTATCCCCACCTGCAAAGAGCAGTATAACTCCTTGTATCAAAATTCGTTTGCATGTCTACGTCTTCTTAATAAAGCATCTTGAAGAACATTTCTTCAAACGTTTTGCATACGTTCAGTTCTGATTCTGCTTATGTGGTAGAATCTGCTAGAAAATTTGGTCACTGATTCTACTCATGTTAGATGCTTCTAGAATTTGATGTAACCTGGAATTTAGGCATAGTACCTCATCGTTCTAGGTTTAAAAACGGTGGGAAATACGTTGGTGGTTATGCCTATGGAAAGAAGCAAGGAGAAGGAACACTGTATTATCCTGATGGCTCTCGCTATGAAGGGTCGTGGTCAAACAACGCACGTAACGGATATGGGTCCTACTTCTACGTGAACGGAGATATATATGAAGGTGATTGGGTGGACAACAAAAAGGAAGGCCAGGGCATTTATACCTACGCAGCAACAGGTATGCCTCTGTGTATTGACGTATAAACGAATTGCGAAGGGCTATGGCAAAGTTGGGAACGGGTTGATGCTTTGGTTTTGATCAATAATTGTATTTATCGATTTATATTACATGAAGCATAGGGTACAGTGTTCGATGACCATAATTGTCGGGGCTGTAAAAATGTAGCAACTACGTTGACTCGCACAAGTTAGCAAAAAAGCTGTAGAAAATAATTCAAAAAAGAATTTTGAAAAAAATTTAAGCGAAATTTACTAGTGGAAAATGAAGGGCCAACCCTTGTGGAAATAGCCGAATTGTGGGAATTTCCTCTCTTGTCTGTGAAAAGATCCCCCAGGTTAATGTCGTGTTCTCAGGTTTGTTCTAGTGATTGCTGTAGTAATCGCTCTCAACTATAACAGTGCCCTGAAATGGCCGATAATTTACCATTGTATGAAGGTAATGTGCCATTGGCAGATTTTCAGATAAGATGGTTTCAGAAAACGACCAGCATTGCAAAGAATGCGTATGGACCATACGTACATGCGTTCTTTGTCACCTTATAAAACAACCAATAAATTGCTTAAATGCAGTTTTTTAAGTATCCTTATGTGACAGCTCTATGTCATGGTTCTTGAAAACAGTATCTTTGAAAATATGCGTGTTGCTGTTACCAACGATGAGACAATATGGTTAACGAAAAGTCAACATATTATTTCAATAGAACGTTTCTAAGCAAATGCAACCTCATCAACCTGTTGAATGTATGTTTGAAATATTGTTTAGGTTCAAAATATCGTTGTCGCTGGATAGCTGGCCAGCTCGAAGGCCCTGGAGAGTTTCTAAACCAAAATTACCGCTTTGTTGGGAATTACGAGAAAAGTCTGCCAACTGGATCCGGCAGGTTAGTATTTCTAGTAATGTGTTTATGAAGCTAGTGGGTCGTTTCAAGCCCAGTCATTAATTGAAAAGTGAATCTGTATGTAAAAGATAAGCGAGTAATTGATAACATATAAGCATGTAAAGGGACCACTGATCTAGAAAAAAACTTGACTGAGATTTTGCAATGTCGATACCAACTCCTACCTTCTTTGTTTGGACCTTTTCGAGTTGTTTTTAGCGAATAGAGTACACTGTTAGCTTTTTAGGTTTGGCTTTGCTGTGATAAGATTTCAACGAAATGGTTGAGAAGATTTCGAAATAGGTTTTCTTTATGGAAAATTAGGCTTAACACTTAAACTATACTATTGTAAAATTGCTTTTGAATGAAGCTTTTATTCTTCCTTGGTATCTGCATTATTTTCTTTGGTATCCATCTGAAGTCGACTGCCCCGAACCTAGGTTCCTTTTGTGCAGCAAATATTGCTCCACCGTTTTTTGCTATTTAGGCCATTATGCTTTGAGCAGGATATAGAGGTTGTTAGATATAGGTGTCTGATGGAGGCTTTCTGGATCAAGTGCTTGATTTAGTCTATGAGATCAATGTTACACTTTTAAAGGGAGAATGGCATGAGAAGACTCTGAATCGTAGTGGCCCATTTGCTTAATTTTAATCGAGTTTTCCTGCGAATTGCCCCAAATCTTCTTAATATTCTTCTTGCTTCTATTAAGACCTCCCAAGCTCAAAATTCATTTTCTCATCGTCTTATTTTACCAAAGAGTCCTAAATTTTATGAAAAAATTACTAATTACTTGATTCCTACCGTTTTCTTATGCAAAGGCATTTTTCGTATAATGTTTTTTTATTGTGCTATTTACTTTGATCTTTTCAGATTCCTCTTTGATAACGGAAGCGAGCAAATCGGAGAATACATTGTGAAGGAAGAAATACAAGAGGCTGAAGTTGAAGGGGAAGAAGCTGTTGTGGTTAAGACTCCAACGTGGAAGGCGTCTGCAATAACAAGCTTGCAGAAAGTCGAAGTCGACCTAGGGGACATGTAAACATATATGTACCTTAATATTCTTACGAATACGATACATTGGTCGGCTCATATGGCAGGCTGTGCCATGTACTTCACATTGGATAGGTGATAGAGCAGAAATGTTTGTTATCACTTATTCACAGTGTATCTTGTTGAAAGTATAGGGAGCAAAAGACCCCAGCCGCCATTAGCGCTGCACCTCTCTACTTTAGTTTTGAAAAGTTATATTGACTGGCTGTATTTGTGACAAAGATTTTAAAGAACTGGTACAATATTGATTACCGTATTTCTCGGCGTACACGTCAACCCGATAGGAAAGTCAACATTTTAATTTTAGCTGAAGATTTCCATGATAATATTTAATTGAGTTTTGACTGACAAAAATCAAGACAATTTTACCTTTAAAACCCACAGTATACATTCTCCTGTCAAAAGTTGTTCAAACGGAAATCTTTTTCTGCCAAAATTTCCGGTAAACTCGCTAACGAAGATAAAGCAAGTTCAATGGCGTATAAGTGAAACGTTTTCATATGTATTTTATGGACGTAAAAACGCGAATTACACGCCGATAAATACAGTATTACTTTTAAGCAAAACGACTTTGGTATATATACATAGCATTCTTAGCATCAATTTAATAAAACCTTTTTCTCGACATAAAGCGAACTTCCTTCACTTTTGGATTTTTCCTCTTGAAGGCCACTTAAAATTCATTAATATGACAACTTGCACTACAACATTGAAAGCATTGATTAACTCTTTTACCAATTGCTTGTTCTTCGTGGTAAATTTATTTTATTGTTGCCCATTCCAAAGTCTCTGAGTTCTTTTTACAATCATTTACCCAGTTTAGGAATACTTTTTGCTATTTATGGACTTCATCTGTGCCATTCATGAGTTGAAATGAAATGGCAAGTAAATGATAGAAAATGAGGAATCAACAGTGACAGAAAATGACTAGCAATATAATATAAATGATGAACTACATCTTTGTGATTTACAATTAAAGTCAAGTTGATCAAGTGTTAATTATTTACAAGTTAAGAATAAGAAAAAAAAATACAGTTTTACAATCCAATTATGGCATATCTCCCATCTGGCTGGTTATATTGTCAAGGTTTTTATTAATTATTTTGACTTTAAATAATAATACACTTCTTTGACTTTTAAAGAACAGGAGTAACTTCACACTAAAAACCAGTCTATGTTCCCTCATTGTGCCCTGAGAAAGTTTATTTTACAGTAAGATTTGGCTCAATTGAGGCACAGCTCTAGAGCAAAATCTGACTGGAACAGGAAGGGGGAGATAGGGGTTACAACAGCAGGTAAAATCTTAAGACCATCCAATTTTTACATTTGTATAAATTGATGCCTTTTACAGCAGGGGGTAGCAAGAGGGGGTAGGGGCATTTTCCCAATATTAGAGGGTCCCCAAACCAAAACGTTTACAAACCGTACTGAGTTTGAATGAACACATGTTGCCTCTTAACCCTCTCCTTCCATGACTGAGTTGATTTGTACATGTTTGAGCATTACCTCTGTACGTTATTTCTAATATAGTCATTTCGGTATGTTGGTAAAAAAATTCTGGGCCCCCAAATGTCTAAGTCCTTACCCCCATGTTTATTATATACACTTGACCAATCATGAAAAAAATGTGGTAAAGATTTTACAAAGATATGGTGCTGGTGTGGCTGAAAGACGATACAGTATGTATGGTAGAGGGCAGTGAAGACTGGGTTACACTACTACAAGGTTACGCAGACTGGGTTACAAAAGATCAACACCCCTTTCTTTGAGTAAATCAAGGTATAAAGTATCAAGTTTTTTGCTTGTTCCTTTCAGTCCTTGAAACACTTTGCCAGCCCACTTAAAATATTCACTGACCCTTTCATCCGTCCAACCCTCCGGTACTTCCTTATTCAAATCACGCAAATTATAAATTTTATCGGCCAATTTAACAAGCTTGGCTTTTGGGCTACAAATATGAGCATGCTCTATTTGTAACCTTTTCCGTTCCTGTTTTGGCAAAGATTTATCATCTGAGCATTCCTCCACAATTCTTCGAATCACAACCCCAAAACTGTCCTCAATCTCTTGAAATGTAGTGTCGGTATCTTCGACCGTATCGTGTAAAATGGCGGCAGCTAGCACTTCTATATCAGCAACATCGGCTTCATCAGATAGAATATTTGCAACACCGATAGGATGATTTATATAGGGCGTCTTTTCAAAGTTCTTTCGACGTTGATTTTTGTGTTTAATAGCGGCAAAGTTGGCACACTTTATCAACAAGGTTACATCGGCCATTTTACCTTCATCAGAACGAGGTTACACGGTTTTATTACGAGTCAAAACGGTAAGGGGAACTATTTTTTCCAAAGTCAGTTCTACTGCATAAGTTTATTAACCAAGTTTATTAGAATGGAGAAATTAAAGAAGCTTTTTTCTGGCGAAAGTAGCGAAGAAGAGGAAACCAAAAAATATGTGGAGCAGCTTCGAGAGCTTTTAACACACGACTGTAACAGAGGCAAGAAGGAAGGTAGGCCTGATATGATAAATCTAATCTTGATAGTTACTTGATAATTTTTTGATAATGAGGTTAATGGCTGTTGAATCAACACCAAACTTGAAAAGGTAGATTGGCGGAATTTGGAAAAATCTTTTGGTAAAATCTCTTGGTCCTCAAGTTTCCACTAATTCTAGGTCACAGAAAAAACTAAAGCCAGATTAAACATTACGACATGAGTTATATCTTGGTCCTTTAATGATTTTATAAAGAAAGAAGGTTTCTTAGAGGCCCAAGAAGCGAAACAACAGTTTGGAAAATATTTAAAACATGTTACGCAGGTATTTTTTTACTTGAAACCTGCTTTTAACCTTTAAGGCCATTAACGATTAAATAATAATGCTACTTTTTATGCTTTATTATAATTTCAATAATTGCAAACACTAATGACAGTTCAGTTCAGTTTTCATTATTTCAAATTCTACTACATTCAATTTATTGCCACCACTAGGGTAAAAGGGCCAGCTGCCCCCCCCCCCCACTGCCCCCTGGCTCTGGTGCCCCTGCCTCAACCTATTTGATCTTTAGTCAGTATTTTGATTATGAGTATGTTAATTTTGAGCAAGTTCAGTTCAGATTAGAGTTCAGTTAGAATCAAGACATGCAAGAAGCACATTGTCTCTTATCTTGCTGTGTGCTCTTATCACTTGTTAAATGGGTTTTGCTGGGTTGGAAACAACACTAGTCAATGGATAGATAATTTAGTGGTTATATTGATCAATGTTCCAATGTACGTGAGCACCCCCTATTTTAATATAATTTAATGTAAAATTTATTACTTCAATTAAGAGTGTGACTAGGGGAGATGGTGACCTTCTAGTATCAATTATTCTAAGATCAGTTTTTGCAATTACTTTCAAAGAGGAAACTTTTGAGTTTACAACAAACTCTAACAGAATAGGGTAATTTTTTTATATCAATAGGAGTCCTATTCCAGCATCTATAAAGAGTTTCATTTCATACTGTTCAGTTTGGTCTTAGAGCCAAGAGAGTCACAATTGCAACACACATAAAGTAATTCCATTGCCATAATGCTCAAAGCGTTTTATCTCCTCATTTGGTGAAAGATTCCAGATTTTCAACCCAAAAAGCTGATAGAGTTTATTACAAGATTTTTTCATTTTTACCTACATTTTTTTTGGAAGATCATTTTTTGCTCAGTATTAATGACATAATTTCTTTATTTTTAGGATGTCATGAACTTGGTGAATTTTATCAAGTTGTTGAACAAAATGTAGAAGAAGCAAAGAATATATTTAAGACCAATTGCGAGGAAAGAAATCATGCTCACAGCTGTTTTTCTTTAGGATATTTGTTTTTTACTGCAAAAGGTAAAGTTTTCTGATGAACTTTTCATTTATCAAAATTTGATATTAAGGTTTCTTAAATGACTAGAAATGACTTATCAAATTTTTTTTTATTGATCAATTTTATTTGTTAAGCCAGCAAATTATCTTGATTATTCTGAATTTTTAGTGCATTTCGATTTTATTTCTTTCCAGAAAAAGACATTGTTAAAGCTTTGAAATACTTTGAGCGTGGTTGCAATGGTGACTCTATTGGGTCATGCAATAATGCTGGAATGATTTACCAAAGTGGCCATGAAAAGTCAAACATTAAAATGGACATGGACAAAGCTATAGGCAATTTTGATAAAGCTTGCACTGGAGGCCATAGACTTGGCTGCTTCAATCTGAGCTGTATTTACCTTACAGGAAAAAATGGTGCAAAAAAGGACCTGCCAAGAGCTTTTGAACTGTCACTTAAAGCTTGTGAATTAGGCCATCCTTGGGCTTGTGCAAATGTTAGTAGGATGTATAAAATGGGGGATGGTGTGGAGAAAGATTTAGAGAAGTCTTCTGAATTTAGGAAAAGAGCACAAGAATTAAAAGATAATAGCAGAGCATAGTTTGTAAAACATTATTTGTACAGAAAAAGGTGTGAATTGGTATTTTATTACTGAGTAATTTTTAGAAAATGTAATCTCAAGATGTGATTTAAGGTCCTCTCACTAGTTTTTTATGTGTGAGGATGACCCAGTTGTTATCCTCCTTGACTAAAGATCCTAAGGTCTGTGGTTCAGACCCCTGACATTGCCAAACTTTCACTTAGAGTAGGACGAGTCGTTAGCTCACATCATGAATCACGATCCTGGTAGGACATTGTTGCTATGGCATTAAATTAGGGACTTTTCCTATATGACAAGGCTGGTAACAATTGGAAGTATGATATGATTCTTGATTTTTTCATTAAACTCCCTAATCCATGAAATGAAGTCACAAATTTGTCTTAACTTTCGGCCAATATATGGCCACTATTACCTAGTAATATTGGGCAGCCCTTAGGCATTCGTTAAAAAAGAGAATATGTTGCTTATGTTTGTTAAACTCCACGCGATGGGGTTCAGAAATAACGCATGGTCCATTGGCTTTCAACAGGACCGTCGCTATATCCCCCCCCCCCCCACGTTTGAGAAAAAACTCCGTTGCAGAAACGAAAAGTTTTTGCCATTTACACCTCGAGACAGAAAACCCAGATAAGTACAAAAGGATTTCACGATCATGTACCCTTGGTACCAGACTCACTCTATGAAAAATAAGAGATTTTATTTAGAGTGAGCTGGTACCCAGGGTAACGATCACACCACATTTCAATGTGAGATCACCAAACAGTGGCGTAACGGTACAGTGTGGAACCCTTACTAAAGAAGCGTTTTGGACCCATCTGCTTAATTAAATTGTGTCAAGTTTTAGAGCCTATGTACTCGCTTTTTAGGGGTTTTCCTGAAAAGCCCAAAGAAAAAAATATACCACAGCATATGAAGGGATGATCCGCCGTCTAAGATATTTCTTATGGTCTTCATCTAAGCTTTGCCCGGATTTCCATGGATCGAATAACAGAGCCATAGCCTTGGAGCTGAAATGTTTTTAATATCTTTACTATAATACCTAGCACTAAATTTGGTAGAAATCTTCTTTTGTGAACTCGAATGAACCCCTAGCGGGCTCAGTCAGCTGATCCAATGTACATCATGTTTATTCCTGAAAGTAGAAACTGAACTCTAATCTTTGATTCAGGGTTGCGTTAAATGTACCCTTTTTCTGACTTTGAGAAAACTTTGCAACCCTTTTCACTGAGAATATTCAAGCTTGAGCAAGTGTTTTGAAACCAATTCTTGTAAGAACCATTCTATTTCTTAAACTTATGTTATGGTAATTCAAAAGGCATTGGTTTACCCAAAAAAGTATCTGTAAAATCATATCAGTAAATTCCTACCCTTTTTGTGGTTCCTCTGACTTAGGTAGAAAGCAACCCCCTATGTCCTATGTCCTATGTCCTATGTCCCTATGTCCTATTTCCTATGTCCTATGTCCGTTTCAAGATGAGCCCGCCGGGAATTAACCACCTGGTCGAGATGACCCATGCTGCAAAATCAATCTGCATAAGATCAGCATCAAGCACATCTTCACAAAGATGACCACGATCAGTTAGATAAGACTTTGAATGAAAAATCAAGCTTGCATGATTTGGCTTGAGTTATAGGTTGACTCGCACCTTCGTCGTTCTTTTCAGGAGTTTCAGAAGATTTATCAATGACAGGGCTCGTGACTTTATCTACGTGCTTTTCTCCCTGCGGTGGGAGACTTGAGCTGGGTAGATTTTGATCTTTGCTTTTTCAAAAAATAGCAAAAATTTTATTTGTGTTTGATGTAGTAGCAGCTCTTCAACTTTACCTTTCATTTCGGCTCTTTTGCTCGCACCAGATTCAAAAACACGCTATGGATTGGAAGACATTGTGAAATGAAAGCAATAACATTGATCGATGCGTTTGAAAGCATTTGTAGACTTGAAAGATAGACATTTTTATCAAATAGATTTTAGATATCTGTGATATCCTTGTAAATTGAATACAAAATTTTATAACGATATAGGTGTGCATTAGAGGAAAGCCTATTGACATGCTTTATCTTACATCATTATTATATGGTTGCTCACAAATCATATTTAGTCTTACGATCATTTCAATGCTGCTATGATTGCTACTAAGAAACATATGCTTTCATCCAAAAACCCTTTTTTCGAGAAACTTCTTGGGGGCCCCTTCAGGGCTTAAATGTTTGGGGGCCCTTAGTTTTGTGCTTAAAGGTGCACACCGTGTGAGAATTTAGAGAGTTTCCCACAAAATGCGAAGAAAAGAAAAAGGTGTGACAGGGCTCTTGATCCAGTAAATATGATCATAAATTTTCTAGTATTCTGAACAACGAGAAAGTGCAAATCTCAAACATTAGCTTCATTTATTTATATCTTGTTGTTATTCTACTCTTTGTGTGAATTTAACCCTTACTTCGAGGAGCTTTACCTTCTTTGATAATTTCTTTTTGCTCGATTCGATTCATATGTTTATCAGTATCATTCAAGATAAGATAAAGGTGTGTAGTCAGTGCGTATAGATAGCCAGCAGTTTGGATTGTATTATTGATGGATTCAAGTTGACGTCATCAATTTTGTATCTCGCTATCTACGGATCTTTTTCAAAAATGGACTTCAGAATTGAAATCTTAATCTTTAAATTAGTTTATACTGAAAAATTCATGTTGTTTAGACCGTTCGGTCGCATGTTACTTTGTTTCGAATAATTAGATATTTCTTTAGAGTTGACCGGAACTTGCTGCAGTGAAAAAAAAGCAACAAATTCCATTGAAATGTATAGGAAAAGCTAAATTTTGAAAATGGGGTAATTCGCAGGCTGATGGCCCAAACAATTTTAAATTGTTGGCACAGACTAATTTCAACATGAAGGTTCCAATTCTGTTATCCTTTTTTGCCAAATGTAAAGATACAAATTGCTCGAATCCGACAATTAACGATATCTTGAAGCTAGAAACTGGAAAGAAACCCCTGTCGAATAATAGAAAATGCATGCTCAAAGTCCACTTTCATGTCCAAATTCAAAATTTTCTTAGTTATTCTGTAAAAAGCGTATTTTCTGCATGGGTGTAGAGAAGACTTTTAGTCTGATTAAGGTCTGATTAAGGGCCGAATATTGTTGTTTCATTGAGATAAAATTGCTCGAATTGGCCTGAAAGTCGATAAATTTTGCCTGATGTGGTGGCCTAAAGCCACATTTTATTGCCTAACGTTGCATCCCTACTTTCTTTCCACTCAAAAACAACCGTTAAGCTGCAAGGGACAATACCACTCGACCAAGAGCATCGGGTCCGTAAAATTTTGTGAATTTCGAAAATTATGTGAAATTACGAAAACTATTTCGATTATTTTTGGCTGAGGCTCCTTGGATGGAGTTGCGTGGAATTGTACGATGAATTTCGCTGCCTTGGGATTCCTGGAAAACGTGACGTTTACTTTTCGTTTCTAATAACACGCGGGACACCCGCGGCTAATTACGGAAGGTGCTGCCTCTGTGCAAAATTAACCCGCGAGAAAAATGGTGCCGCAAATATAAGGTAACAAGTTGGGACATAAAATGAGGCTGTAAATGTAGCAGCGACAAGTAATTGAATTTAGAAAGAGCAGGTTTGGAATTAAAGGTAAGTCTTCTGCAATCAAATAAGAAACCAGCTCAATGGGTTGAAATCCTTTGTAATCCAAATCTTTGTCGCTTGTCCGTTTGCATTCAGGAGTATCCTTCAGCGATATGATTGGCTAGGCCCATCCGTATATACAGCTTCCGGATTTAACTCGCACGTCGTACTAGGCTACAAGGGTGTTTTAACAACTATTTCAAATTGTCTAAAGATGGTCTCAAACAAATAAACTAATGTGCTGGAAGATTAATTAAAACAAATATTATCTTGGTGCATTCCTACCGCTTTATATAGGTCAAGGCGTTTGTATTTATATAGTCCACAATTAAAAATGTACAAATGTAAGTTACAAATATTATCTGTTCCGGGCAACTCTCATTTGCCAAAAATGGATCAAAGAATTTAAATTTTCGTCTTGAAATTAGTCTGTGTCAAAAATTTCATATCGTGTAGGCAATTACCCCATTTTCAAAATTTAGCTTTTCCTATATATACATTTCAATGGAATTTCTTACTGTAGTAAAATATTTTTCACTACAGCAGCAAATTTCGGTCAAATCTATAGAAATATCTAAATATTCATATTGAAGTAACATGGGCTCGAACATTTCAAATTTGAAACAACATGACATGAAGATTTCAGGTAATGACTAATTTCAAGATGATGATTTGAAATCTGCTTGAGAAAGATCTGTAGATAGCGAGATGCAAAATAAATGACCTCAACACCGAATGGAGAATATTACTTACAGGAAAATATAATCTACAACGCTAATAGGGCGATACCCACAAGAAGCAAAACACAGTGTCTACTCCAGGGCCATAAAACATAAAAAAGAACCATTCTTTTAAAATTCAAATGCATGTATAACTATACTATATATACAAAAATACTAAGAAAAAAGCAAAGTATTGGCATGTAGAAAAGCCTGTGATGAGCTTAAGCAAATCAACCAGGTTCACAGATCAACTGCAAAGTTCTTAGTAATATATTTTTATTAAGGTAATTGGATAAATCTTGATGGCCATAGAAAAATGCTTCAAAATTATACCTTTAAATCTGTTTCCTGTGAAGGTATTTTGTGTAACATGAAGAGGACTGGTAGACCTTAAATGCTACAGACCTGTTCCTTACCTATAGTTTTGGGGGACTATCAAACTTCTAGGTGTTGTCTGTAATACAGGTTGGAAACTCCTAGTTACACACACATTTAAGGGTCAAAAAAGCACTTTCAGCCATAGTCACTTCCACCTCAAAAAGCTTTGCCTGCATATTTTGTATTGGAGAAAATTAAAATACCCTAGTCATTTTCTGTGTTGATCCCACTCATCCACCAGTGTGTATTCAATACTAATGCCCAATTGTATTTGGTGTAGAGTTATGTTCATTGCCAGCATATCACCATGTATCTGTATTTTCTTACATTTGCAAGGGGTGCCTGCAAGAAATGGACATACCAAATTAAAAGCTCCAAAATGTCCCTCATGGGTTTCTTGCTGATGAATGGCTTTCTTATCATTTTCTGCACTTTTAAAGCTAATTGCTCAAATATACAAGGGGTACTGACAATCATTCCCCATTTGAGTTTGAGGCTGTAACCAGGTGGTAGTGACTATCTCCTTTTTTCTCATTTTTCAATTTTTGATTTTCCACTTTTATGATTGTCTTTATTTTTTACCTTCAATGCCTAAAAACTGCTCCTGGTGTAATTTGATTGTTATTATGGACAATCATATTTTAGTTTTTGTCTTTGGTTATGACATTTTCTGACATAGATGGTGATAGCATTGAGCATATGAGAAACATGCAAATTTGTTGACCTTGAATGCAATTAAATTTGCTTTATTTCCTCAGACCAAATGCTGATCAGACTGGTAAAGATAAAAGGATAAATTTTTGTGAAAAATAGTGTCTTTTCCTCTAAAGCATGGCATAAAGATGATACTATTATGTTCTATGAATTGTGTTGAAGTGCAAAAGGTTGCCTGAGTATACCAACACTCATCCCCATGAGACCTCAATCATGTCATCACCTATTGAAGGCAATGTTGGCATTGTAACGTTTGTGGCAGAGCATGACTATGAACCTCAAGATGAAGGTGAAATTGACCTACGGAAAGGAGATTTGATAGTTGTCGCAAAGCCGATCATAGATCCTTGTGGATGGCTAACAGGCACGAATAAAAACACAGGTGATTATGGGCAGATTCCAGGGACATTTGTGTCCATTGTGGAGGACTACACACCACCTCCCCCTCCAAGACCTCCAAAACCTGCAAACCTAACCAAGACCACAATGATGAAAGGTAATCAAGGCAGACATTTTCTTTTAAAATGTTTCTTATAAATACCTTTAGTTATGATCTAACCATTTATATAACAAATGATTTGTGACCTCTCAGAGAGAGACCATAGATTCTAGGACATCCCTGTAGTATTCAATCTATGATCACAACAAATCATTAAGGAAACATAATTCAGACTCTGCAAACTTAATTTTATCTGAACTTGCACCTCTGTCAATATGTTTCAGAAGCTGTTGTGGTGTAAAAATGTGTAGCTTGCATAGTTGCAAGAGGCTAGTACACCTTCTTAGTGTTAAGCTCGCAGCCTTTTGTACAATGTTTCCTGTTCAATCCCAGCCTCTCCATAGAATTTGACAATGTCTCTCTGTCCACCCTATAGCAAACAGGTAAAAGTTGGTTTGGCGCTTAAAGAACCTGGGAATGCCCATATCTCTAATGCGATCTGAACCCTTTTACATTGCTAGTAATCCACTTTACCTTTTTTCATTTGTATATTCCTTTTCAGCTCAAGCATGGTCAAGTCTTGAGATAAATAACCATGATTTGGAAAAAGTTGTATTTGGTAAACCTGTTTGGTGCACACAGTGTAAGTGACACTGCTTGACAGAAATTTTAAAGCTAAATGATTTTTTGTACTCTAAATGCATATACCTTGGATGTTCTGGTCAGTGATAATGCTAGTAATTTGACAGGGTTGTAACACTCTGGTTCAATCTAGGCCTGTCCATATGCCAGGTCTTCCATGAGGATAAGAACATTATATATACTTTATCATTTTATTTTATTAATTGAAAGCCTGTGGACTTTTTTCCATATATCATAACTCTGTTATAAAGACCTCAAAGATAAATTGGAAGTAAAAATTCTATAACATATTTTTCTTCCAATTTGAAATAATTTAATTATATTTTAATTGAAGGTCATGATTACATCTGGGGATTCAACAAATCTTGCTTCTGGTGCAATGGTATGTTCTTTCTCAAACAACAATTTGGTTGATTTCTTGAGCCTTTACTATTTTTAAATATCAAAAAGTGTTTGTTACCAGTTGACAGTTTGCTTACCCTAACTGGTATTGGCAACAAATGATAACATTCTTATTAAGTTATTGCATTTTATTTTTATAAAATGATTTTAATTCTGGTTAAGTTTTATAGATTTCATTCTAGTTAAGTTATATTCATTCCAAACTTGAATCCTGATTGGCCAATGAGAGGTTTGTCAGTCCCTGGAGCAAAATTTCAAGACTGGGGCCTATATGGGTGAAATGACAGACCATATGGGGATTCTAGAATTGGTCAAATGTTTTGACCACAGCATCATGATTTGCTACAACTTCTAGTAAAGCAACATAATTCTAATTCAAGATTGGCTGCCATTTTCTTATTTCTGGTCCATGTTGCATTGAAGGGAACAAACTCTCTGACTGCTGATTTCAACTTGAAAATTTTTACAATGCCATATTATTTCTGTCTCTTCATTATTATTTATTTCTTTCTAAACACAAAGACGTAGGTAAATTAAACAGAAAGCTATAAATAAAATTGTTCATTTACATTTTACTGACAATGGGATCATAGATAAGGCCTCCTCGGATAGCTTCAATGCATAAGCATTGTATCATGTTAAATCAATGCTTTTGACTCTGTGTAAGCGCATTAAACTTATGCTATTTTTGCATGAAACAGTGTCAATGTCCTTACCATATACTATCAGTTTATGCTCAGTGGAAAGGTTGTCTTGTGGGTGGACAAGGCCCAAGAGGCAACTTACCTCCTCTGCCCTCTCTGACAGACATTAACTTTTGTCCTACAAATGTCTGCTTTGTGTACTGTATTTTTGCGATTCTGATGGACTGCTCATGTATTATTTACAGAGTGCTGTTTTGCAAGCCATACTAGTTGCAGTTACCTTTTTGGTAACACAAACTGTGATCCTGAACGTAAGGTTGTTGTTGACTATCAAAAGACGGATTTACTGAGGGTGAGTTTCTAATATGGAGTATGTATTAAGTCACCAAGATAATACGAAGATAACTTAGCTATGTCTGTGTAGCACTTTGAAGTGAATGTATGGGAAGTTGTAGTTGAAACTGATTTTTAATTTTTTGATAGCAACATCACGTTCTTGGTATGTTTTGTCAAATTTTCTATAAATGATTTTTTATATGTTTATTATTTGATTTGAATTTCCCCAGTAATTAAGATTACTGCTTGGCAGTCTGGCATGCCGTATAGGGGGCCTATTATAGGGGGTCCAAAAGCCACAAAACCATGAAATATTGACCACAGCCGCAATGCACAATAGAGCCCTAAGACACAGCCGTAATAGAAAAGCTTACCCTCAAGAAAAGCCAACTACTCAGTTACAAAAATATTAAAGAATTGCTAAAAGTAACTGCACGACAAGCTCTTCTGGTTCTCACTCTGTTTCACAAAACAAGCTGTTGCATTTTCCAAGCCTTTTCAGCCTCTATTGATTGCATTGTGCTAAAAGCCACAAACCATTGCCAGTTTACACTGAAAGATGCAGTACTCATCTTATGCTGAAGCCGCAATCTTTAGAATACCCATTGCCAATTCCATAGGCTACACTTAGAAATAGGGTTGGCACTGTAAAGCTGCAAACCTGTCAAAGGCCCCGCAATAAAAAAGGACCTGTACATGCTTTGCTGTTTTAACATAAAAGTGTGTTGAATTTTACAAATCTACAAACCAAGACAAATCCAAGTTGTTAAATCACAAATCCTTCTTTTGATGCCAATATATTGATAACATATTGATATATAATTTATGTATGTTCTGTTTTAGCCAGTAAAAGAGTGGGATGTTTTAGATGTTTTAGAGTGGCTAGCAGCCATAAGAGCATATCAGTACATGCAGAGTTTCAAAGCAGCCAACATCAATGGTGCTGCTTTGTATGAGATTGATGAATCCTACCTTAAAAAGGTTTGTATGTTTGTTATTCAGATTTAAGGTAAATTGCAAAGAGAAATAAAAATTTAGAAAACTGCCCAAGATGAAGAATAGATGGCATTTTTTTTAGCATTCTTGTCCAGATTTGTAGATTCATTGGATAGGTTATAAAGCAAGTGTCTTTATTATTTGATTAACAGAACATTTGAGTACGAAAACATTTTACTGTATAGGATGACCACTTGTTACCGTCTTGATTTCAAGAAAATGAATAGCTTTGACTAAAAACAGCTAAAATATTGCCATTAATATTGTTGGGGTCATCTTTCTCTTTGGCCGACTCTGTTTATTATGTCTTTATGGCAAACGTATGGCAAATGATATTTTTACCGCCAGAAAAAACCCTTTTACCAACAAAGAACGCTAACTTTACCTGAAGGGAACGCCCATGACTCACCTTGTTTACGTATAGCTGTTTCAAAATCACAAGGCTACATCACAAGAAGTACGTTGCCATAATTTTACCCCTCCCTAACATTTTCTTGTCGAATTTAGACAAGATACAAAATTCATCCTGCCAAGAACTGGGAGAGGGGGGGGGGGGCGTGACGCCACCATTGCTGCTGTAGAAAGCTGGTATGCACTCGAAAGCTAGCAATGAAACATAGATTATTAAAGGTGTTGTTCATAATGGATTTCTAGACAATGTGCTCATGTTTTTGCAACTACATCAACTACATGTAACAGTTTCAGTGAAGCATTTATTGGTATGATCATACTACTCTCGTCTCTTTCGTTTAGCACAAGCAAGTCAATGCATTGAATTATTAGCATTGTTGCATTCGAGTACCCAGCTTTTTCTTGATCCTTAGTTTTCCAGTTCATTTTCTGTCTTGATGTATCTTTTTTCCAGGTGCTGGGGATTCCTCACGATTTCGACATAAGAAGCCTTCTAATCTCAATAAAAGAGCTCACGAGGGGCAGTGAGAGGGTAAATATTGTTTTGCACATTAACTATCGCGAAAAATGGCGACAGCAAAGGTTTCATTCTTCTAGGACTTGACCAAAAAACGGGTATATGCAACATTCCCAAGTGACGAGGTGAAGAAATCCTTTAAATTGGCATTATTTGCAGTTTGATTCATGAAGACTTTTAAAGTGGTTTTGTAAATGTTGGCGAGAGAGCTGGGATGTCATTGATGCAGTTTTGTCTCTCTATTGCTTTTTAGCCTTTACACATATTTGCATCAAAGTCTTGTACCCTTTTATATGTACAGTGTAATATGTACAAAGGTTATTATGTTTTCTATATTTCAGTCGCTTTCGAGTGCTGTCGAGGTGATAAAAGTTGGAAATATATGTTTTGCTAGTATTCCCAGTTATTGGTTTCCAGTTAGATTCTAACTATCTCTAGTTTCATGTACGGTATGTTCAGAGGCCAAACTGGATTTTGAATGACAAATGCCACCGCAAAACATTATAGTATCTTATGTTAATTTTTCTGATGGCATGCTGAGTAGTAATGACGTCATTAAGGTGCACTTTACAGTACCAGATTTTTATAGATTTCACTGCTTGATTTAGATTGACTTTGCCAACCCATTACATCCATACGTGCCTGAGCCAGAAGAAAATTTCAGAGACGCTTGTAGAGGTAACCCTTAATTATTTATAGAAATTATCAATCTTAGTTTTATTTATGTGCTTCATCTAATTAATATTCCTTAGTTGGGATTTAAGGTAAGTGTAAATTTCTATTTATTTTGTAAACAAAGAAAATATCAGAATATTCGTGAAAATAATATTAGGCTTTATGAATCCGGGCCATGTGTGAACACAGACTAAATATTGTGATGATGTATTTCATGATGATGTCTTCTGATTAATTTTCAAATTCATAGAAATATTTGTCGTATAGCTGGAAGGCTTGAGTAGAACTTTATACGGCCTTCTCAGTAAATCACCATTGATTGCCAGCTTTTGTTATTGATACATTCTTTGTTTTGTATTGCTAGTTTTCTATATCCGTAGACGCCATTCAAAGCCATGTCATGACAGAGCATACCTTCACCACAATCCAAGCCTGCGATATCTGCCAGAAATTTATGTTCGGGCTCGTCCGTCAGGGCTTCATTTGTACAGGTGAGGTTTTATTAAGCATAGTAAAGTTGAAGTCTGTATAAACTGAAAGGTTTCAGCCAAGTCTTTGTCTTTAATTCAAATAAAGAATCAACCTGAAAAGTGATGTATTGAAAACAAGTTGATGGGGCTCGTTTCCTTATTGCTTATGCAAAATTAATACAATTCTGCAAATCGTTTTGTGATATACAAATGCCGCCTTTGGTTTTTTTAAACTGCATGTAATCGCAATGTAGCATGGAAATTAAGTAGATTTTCAATGCACAAATCAGTTAATATCGCAAAGTCGAACGCAGGTGCTTGCAAATGTACAAATGAATTTTGATTAGGAAAAAGACGCAGATTTCATGTATGCTTGACAGCCATCCTCAGCGAGATTTTGTTCAAGGATCATAGCACTTTGGAGTTGCATAAAAATCGTCTAATGTGGGCTCAAAGCCCTAAAATATTCAGTCATGTCGTCATGCCTTGTGTTCAATACAACAAAACTGTATTCTGGTATGTCGCTGTTCATCATAGCCCCACTTTGAAACAAATTTACTTGAAATTGCAAGTAGCTTCTCTATTCTATCCGGATACTGATGCCGTGTATGTATGGCTGTTGTTTCATGATCAAGTGTGAGACGTCCTGATACACAACAAAGTGTTACTGGCAATCGACATAGCCTTCATAAAGCTTAGGGTGGAGTGGCCGGCCGTTTGCTAGAAAAAGCAATACCAGCTCTCTACTATATCTAAAGTTGATTTGATCGAAGTCGAAGCGTTGCACCTGTATTCGCTCTGTTTCTAACCAGCATCCAAAGGAAGTATTTAGAAAACCAATAATGATTATGCTATGCTTACGACTGAGTTTTCCTCATAGCATCCGTACAGTAATCCTCGCGTGCAAATCAGCCAGCTTTTTCTTGCCTTACAGCCTGTGGTATTCAGTGTCATCGATACTGCGCCCAGTATGGTCTGACGACATGCAAGCAGAAGTATTACCGTTCGCGAAGATCAAGTGATGTTCAAGGTTTGTCCCAGGCTCATTTCAGTTACATAATTCTTTTGTAGTGCACAGAAACTTCAGACTAGCATAGTTATCAGTCAATATCTTCCGCAGATAAGCAACAGCCATACCGTCGCGTCTTAAGATGAACTGACTGTGTAGTATATTATTTTCATCCTACCGTATGCATATTCTAAAACGCGGTATATTCCTTATAGCGTATTTGCCTGAAATAATGATGACCGTTATCTCAACTTCTCTAGGGGATTTATTACAGAAACACATCACTGTAGACAGTATGTAGGGTTAATTTTCAGTTAATTCGTTCTATTTATTGCTCTAGAGCCGTCATTTGGAACAAATTTAGACGAAAGCGTCCCTCTCACGCTAAAAAATCTTGTTATGGCAATTGAAGAACAAGGAATGTCAACAAAGGATTTATACTTAACAGGAGTGCCATTCTTGGAACTTCTTTCTCTGAGAAATGCTTTGAATCAAGGTACGCTATTTGTAATGAGATTTGGATCAGTTAGAGCCTCTGTTCATGAGTTTAATTCACATACACATGTATATGATAGCTCAGTTATAACAGTGTTTTTGTGCTGATAGAGTATCCGGCAGAACAATATGGCTAAGACATAAGACATAAGACATAAGAGCTTTCATTTCAACCAACAAGAATTACAATTTGAGTTATGATTAATAAAAAATAAAGAAACGAGTACATGAATTAGACTAGGTTTACCATAAACTATGATACCAAGTCATTAAATAGATGAAATTGAAAATTTTAAAAAAGAACCAAATGGTTGGGAAGGGATCTTATAGCAGAGCTTATTCATAGACCCCTACCCGGCCGATCGGGCCGATCCAGACATACCAACTGAGGTTACCAGTTCTTAAATGTAACTGCTATAAAGGAAGAAAGAGCTACTGTCGAAAACGCAGAAGGGGAAATAGGATTGTTTAATAAGAATCAAAAGCCTTATTGGAAAATGTACGCTTAAGGTGTTTTTTATTTGTCACATTTGTAAAGAGAGGATCGTTTTTTAATGCATTAAGTGCTTTAGTGCCAGTATAGCGCAGGGAGCTTAGCCCATAGGTAGTTGTATTAAAGTTTTGTGTATGAAGTCCTCTAGCGGATGAAAGACGCTAAGATATCAATAGCTATTTTGCATGTGTGAAAGGCGATGGGTGACCCGTCATAATTAAAAGCTAGGTCAGTCAAGAACCGTGCTATATGATGAATATATTCTAAGGTTGTTGTGTGATTTGCTCCGGGCAAAGCATCATTACTTTCCTCGGTATTTGACATTCCTTGAAATACAAACATCGATGTATATGAGTAGGTCCAAATTACTATCTTCCCCAGCATTGCGCTTTTTGTCAAATCCACCAAATTGCAATCAGTGAATTGCTAGATTGCTTGAATCGTTGAATAAGTTTTGAATCAGTGTAGATACTGTGATCCTAATGCTGTCACGTGCGTTTGCAAAATGTATAGCTTTATTCAATCAATATGGTAACAAATCACATTAACAAAATAGCAGAATACATTGTGCCCACCACTTTACTGGTTTAGTCCGCCAGTCACAACATTGATGCTAGCCCCAGATTTTTAACTGTTTTCTCTGCTTCAATGAAATAATCCAACAACACACTGGGGCGACCTTGTAATGTTACAATCGATTCGCCATTTTAGCGCCTAACTGTGTCAACATGCGAGGTTCGGAATGGCGAAACCCGTACATTGCGGCCTCATTGCTAAAGCAGTACCTACTGGAGATGCCTTTGTCCGTCATACCACCAGAATCTCACGAAGATTTCATTCTCGCTGCGAGTATGTATTTTCCAGGTTTTCTCAATTTGAAGTCTTTGGAGTCTCTTAGCATGCCCATAATATGTAGGATATTACACAATGCAGAATTAATCATAAAGGATCTTGGCAATTTCCCTTTGTCCTAGATTCATAAACTGAAATTTCCAGCATTAGCCTAAAGAATCAGAAATGTAATTATTACGAAAGTGCCCATCTAATGTTTTCGGCATTTGAATTAGCTCTGTTGTATTCATGACTGTCCAATAGAAATGGATAGTTGCCAGTTGATCTTGATATTACACCCCGGACACTGGACACCCCTCCTTGTACCAATGCACGGTGATTTCCTGGCCAGTGCAGTGTTTTAGAATAGTATATCATATGTACTAACTGATTAATTTGACTATCTAATTTGAACGTCTTAAAGTTGATAGGTCTACGAGGAGGGTATAATGTTTTATTTTCTTAATGTATTCAATTCCTCTCTGAGCGTAATCACGTGCCTTCTTTTTGTCAACTACATTTATTTCGGCATTTGGAGTGACTTTGACTTCCATCAATTTTTCAGAGTTAAGTCAATCATTGCAAAGTGGCGAAGACCTTCTTCATGGCAAGATCCAGAAATTGCCAAAAAGGAATAGAGAATGCCTTGAATTTATTCAAAGGCACCTAATCAAGTACGTCTGTTGTCAAACAACTCCTGTTATGCAATCTCTTATTTTTTATACTGCTTTGCAATCCAGATTTTCAGCCAAAAGACCTTCCAGCCTATTCTGTTAAGCTGCGCGTAAACCATTACAGCCAAATTACTGCGCGTAAACCATTACTGAATATTGTATAATTCAGCAATGTATTAAACCTTTCTGGCACAAAATTTTCAACAGATGTTCCAGAAGAATATTTACAAACGTTTTGGTGTACATATTTATCTTTTGTTTTCAGTGACATTGCTATGGTCGTTGAAAATAAGACTATTCATTGCAGAAAACCTACAAAAAAGTTTTTTTCTATAATCTTGCCCCAAGAACCCAGCTCATACCCCGTTGCTTTTGTTTCCACAATGACCATCGTAGATGAGATAGGCCAAGCACAGTATAGAAAATTCATTTTATAAACCCACTTTGCCTCCATTCGTAATTTTTCTTCCTTTCAACGCAGAATATGCAAGAGTTGCGACGCTTCTACTCTAGAAAAAATGTTTACAGTATTTAGTGTTTTGATTCTGCGACCATCAGATAATAATGCCAGGTAGGTTGTGTCATTCCTCTAAAGCATCTTTATACACATTGCACATTCCCTCGTTCGAATCAGTTCTAGTGAAGAATATTTAACTATCATTGTTGACTGTTTTTTTAAAAATAGACAAAAAATAAGACGAATTTTTAACAGCATTGTCATCGTTTACACAGCTCGAACCAACTTGAATAACAGTTGTGAGGCTACTTCTTACCTGTCTGTTATGAAGTGCTCCATGCCGCATAAATGGAACTATACATGCTTCTTTGGTGTAGAACAGAACGGTTCGAAGTTTCTTCTCCTAGTTATATTCATAATGCGTTGATCAGGCAATTGTTAAAGCCTCGTCATAAAGCTAGTTCTCTTTTCAAACACAGTTCAGATTTATGTCAGTCGGATATCATCGGACAGTAGACTAAGAAGGTCTCCTTAAGCTTTGTGTATTTTTATTCTGATAAATATTTTTTTCATTATCCTATCTAGAATTTATAGTTTTACGTTTTTAAATCATGTAAAAAGGCCCATAAATTCCGACGGGAACGATGAAAAGGAACTTTCAGAACAAAAAGCTTAGAATGGTATCACTTATCCAAAGGCCGCATTCCCCTTATCTTTCCCGAAAAAAATTTCGTTTATCGAAGTGAAATCATTTTGCTGTACTGATTCAATTGACATGAACTCAATTGAAATGATTTTGGTTCTGGTGCTATCTGGTTTGATGTTGGGTAAAGTACTTACTCCAGCGGTCCTATTTTTTAAAGAAAAATTTGATGCCGTTAGTCCCTGCCCCTCCAATAAATTTTGGCTGATATCTATACTGGAGACATGGGGAAGACTTTGCAGGGTAAAAAGCCAGATTCTTCTTTTCATGGAAGTTGCTACAAATTATTCACATTTTCAATATGTGCTAAGACAAAGAAATGTTTAGAAAAATTTAGAAACGTGAGGTGGGATACATCTTGTCGCTCTGTGCAAAAAAGGAGGTTTTGTTTTCTAACACAAATTTTATTTACTAAAATAAACTGTGAAACCTGTGCTAGTGTAAAATAGATGATTTCTTATTTGCTTTACATAAGTCGTACTGCTTTTGAGAGACGTTCTGGTTTGCGGAATCTTTAATTTTTTGCAAGAAATTATTTCACTCTCTCTTTCTCATTGACAACTTTTTAGCGAAGAAAAATTATAGATACAATTGAATTACGTTAACTCGGACCTTCAAGGGGGGAAGGGGGGGGGGGTGAAGAAATTGTTCGACTTAGCAAATGTCCGGCTTATCCGGGATGCGAAGCTTTTTGACTTGAATAAAGTTAAAAAATTGTAAAGGAATTGAATATCAGCGAAGTAAAAGTCAGTGTTATTCAAGAGTCTTGAGTAGAACATGGCATCGTCGATTTCGTTAATCATTTCTGAAGCTTTTATTTGTCTTCTGAAAGGGGCTAAAGCCATCTATCTCGGTGTTAAAGGGTCTAACCATCTTGTTTCCAAGTTTTCAATTCGACAAGGGTCAGTAGCTATTTCATACAAATGTTCCATTGCTACACAAAATAACAAAGAAATGTGTTCAAACTTCAAACCAATAGGCCGATAAGTTACTTTTTTACTGGCTGTGTTTTTTCCAATAAAATTCACTGGGTAATCTTTTTGGAGCATTGCTTATGCCCACAGCAAATCAATTACATGCTACCATAGGTAACAAATTCTTACTGTTATGGACGCAGGAGCGATAAAACAACGATATCCACAGCATTATCCACACGGTGTCATACATAGATGAAGTATAATGATTTTCCCCAAAGTATTTATGATAGAATCCACAGTGCTGATTATGGCAAAAAAGATACTTACCCTAAAGAAATGGTGATGACCTGCCTTGCGGAAGCTAACCCCCTCCCCTTCTTTTCCCCTCTTCCAGCAAGACTGCTGGTGCCCTCTCACATCATTATTTATGGTTCTGTGGTTTTCAAGAGCCTGCAGGGGAAGTACATTGTACTACGGAGATTCCCATGAAAGATAACCTCTTTAAAAACCCAGAGCATGGTTCTCCACAGTGGCATTGTTTAGTTTTCCCACAGCTTGTTTAATTTGGTTTTTGTTGGCTGAAGGACGAGTTGTAATTTGATCGGATGCTGAAAACTTTTTCTGAATTCAAACTCAAACCAGTCACGTGTGAGTTTTCATTCTGCGTACAAGGAAATGTTTTCAGGAAGTCAATCATGATGCCCGGCTAAATGCAATCAAGGAAGCTGGTTGCTGCCGTTTTCAAGCTCACATCCTTCCAGCTTGTTAGAGGAAAAATAACAAGCAAAATGATTTGTGTGTTTATAAAGATTAATTGCTGTTCACAGATGAATCGCTGAATGCTCTTATTTTAAGATGGTAACTACCTTCACGCACCGTTTTAATTTCGATCACTGATATTTAGGACGTTTGTTGTCGACTTGGAGCATCATAAAACCGTGATGGCCTTGCTAATTGGCAAAACCCCTGACCCAAAGCCAGCCGTACCAGGTATTTTTTCTATGCATGTTAGCATTTTACTTTCTTTGACATTGCAAAAAGGGCGTTTGTTACTCGAGGTACTGGCATCGAATCGTTTAGAAGCGTACCGCGTGAATCATAACAGTAATAATAAACTTGACAATAATCGATCACCGTCATCGATTTCCATAATCAATTATGATAATCAATCAGTCATCATAAACAATCAACATCAATCGTCATCATTACCATGATCACAATCATCGTTATCATCGCCGTCATCGTGATTATGTTAACTGCTTTTTTTGATCGATCGTTTTTTCCTTTGAATGTTCAGTTCAATTTCAAAGATTCAGATCTCTTGCTTTTATTTTCAAAATTTCAGGAATCTCTTGGCAATCTTCCAGGCTGAAAATCTCATGTTTTATGTAGCTTAACTTTTTCTGATTGATCATCGTTATTAGCCTTTTGAAAAGTGGGGTTTCCCCACCTGAAGTTTGAGTATTAGGGGTTTCCCTCTTTGATAAGCACCATCGTGTTGTTTTCAGGCCGAACAAAAAGGGTGAGCCTTGTGTCTGACCGTCACTCCAACCTGGATGCAGCCGAATGGTACTGGGGACCAATATCCAGGTACCTATGCTTGGGATTTCCTCTTGCCGTTTCCTATTTACTTGCAACTTACTTCTTCATCCGAAGAGCAAATCACTCAAAGAAAATCTCGTACACCTTTTCTAAAAACCCTATTGTTTTATCTGAAAATCCCCAGAAATCCTTTTGTTTAAGGGAAAATCTCGTACGCTATTTGCAACAGTGAATTGCCCCTCGTCCTCATCCCTCGTTTACTATACCATGATGTTAGATCCCTCCAGGCGGAAGAGATGTCCTATTTTAACGTTTCTGCAGCATTCTTGTTATTTTACTGCAATGTCAAGAAGTGAAGTCGACAGTATAAAAGCGAAGTAGGGACTCTAATGCATATTTGGCAACTGCTTAATTGGCATCCTTACAGGTACCAAGGGCTGCCCTCACTCTATGATAGAAAAGCTCTTTCTTGATTGTACTGTCAAAAAGTAAAGATAAATTAATGTTCTGGGCAATCTTGTTTCGTAAAATAATCGCGTTAAAGTAGAGCAGAATAAGAAAACCGATCCTTGATGATACGTGATCTGCTCAATTATTGTTTTTTAATCTACAGGGAAGTCGCATCCGAAAAACTAAGAAACACCCCAGATGGCACATTCTTGGTGAGAGACTCAACTAACAAAGGCGAATACACGCTCACACTTAGGTAAGCCTATTTCTCTGATCTTACTATTATTTTAACAACCCTTTTGAGGTATGTATACACGAACGAATTATAATTCTACACTTATTTTTGATGCTACAGTTAACGATTTATAAACAAACTGTAGCTTCACCCAAGGAAACCCCCTAATTATCTAACAAAGGCTAGAATGAATAAACAATGAAAACAATATACTTGACTTGAATGAGGCAGTTTAATGACCAATACTGAATTTAATCGTGGAGTTTGTGCATCGCGTGTACATGAATACAATAGTTATGCCGGGAAACACTCAAAACTTCTTGTGGCACATTATTGCCGCCTCCACACGTAGCATGTGGATAAAAGTAACCACATGTTTTATGTTTATGTATATATTTATACTTTTGTATTAAATAATACTGGTTTTTTCTCAACTAAAGTACAAGAAATTGTTGTCAATTTAATGTATATGTTTTTATGATATGAAATCTTATTTTGTAATTGATTTTTAAGTAGCTTCATTCTATAACATGATGTTTCTACATATCGTTTGAAAGTTACTTCCTAGTGAAAAATTGACAACTGTTATATTCTCAAAGTGAATTTGCATCACATTGAATTTAATTTTGCATCCTAAAACGCAAACGTTTATATACCTAGGAATATATCGTTATAATTGAAAAACTGGTTAATTACAGTAACTTACAGCAGGCACCGCAGGGGGCTGGGAGGGGGGTCTTTAGCCAAATAGTAAGTATCAAACTACCAGAAAAGCCTCTTTTCATACGGTTTTAGCCCCCCCACACTTTTTTTAGACCCCCCACTTTTCTCAACGCTCTGCGGTGCCTGATTACAGTAAACCTAGATGTACTAAGCAAAGCCATTTGCTGATTTATCAACTGATATAATCTGTGTATTCTCATTCAGATATTTAATTTCATCAAAAGCTTTTACCGTGAAGAGGAGCTGTGAATCGTAGATCTCTGTTCCTTTGCGAATTTTTAATCAAGGAATCGTCATTTTTCTCAAAGGAAAGGTGGTGGTAATAAGCTGGTAAGAATCTTCCAAAAGGATGGCAAAGTTGGTTTCACAGACTCAACTACCTTCCCTTCGCTACAAGCTCTGATCGAATATTACTTTACCCATTCACTGCGAGAATACAATTTGAGCCTGGACACCAAGCTTCTTTATCCTGTTTCAAAATATGAGGTAACTTTTCATTATTATTCATAAATATTTCCATATCAAGTGGTTTTGCTTTGTTTGAAATTTGAAAGAGTGGAGGAATGTGTCGTGTTGTCTTGTGAGTCTGAAATTGTTATCATCTCAAAATCTAATCCCTCAATTTCTACTTAAAATCATTACACAAAAACGGAAGTTATTGGATGTGCTTTTCTAAATATTAGAAAACTTTGTCAGTGACAGTTGTTCAAAAAACTATTTCTTTTGTTTGGTACCTTTTGATAAATGGGAAATATTTGGTTTTGTTAAATGGGTAATGTTACGTTTTCAGAAATCTGCGGTTGTGCCTTTCCAAACCTGAGATTTTCGAAGGCTAAACTTTCCAAGCTTTATCAAGATACTTAGCTGTATAAAATACTCATTTATACATTACCTAAGAAATTCAACCACCGATTTATACATCAAGGTCCGTTGAAAAAAGATGCTCATTTATACATAAAAAATTCATTACCTAAGAAGTTTAAGAAACATGGAAAAAACTTTTGATAGCAAATGGCCAGAAAATGTAAGAAACTGCCTACTAGCACCGGACCTTAGGTTCCTTTAAAAAAATACGACGTGTATGGGAAGTTAGCCCTGTGGAATGCTGTAGGCTAAAATAGGTAGCTCTATGGAAGAACGTAGGTAAGGTAGGTAGCTCTATGTAAGAACATAGGTAAGGTAGGTAGCCTTACCGGGTAAGGTAGGTAAGGTAAGATCATTGCGCATAAAACACCACACACCCCTGGGCCATGATGCCTTTTTGTTTGTTGCATTCTATCGAGTAGCAATTTGCCTTTGCAGAACCTTCCTGATATTCCTTCAAGTCAGCTGGAACAGGAGCTCCAAGAAGTCTCTTTTCAATTGGGACGATTCACAGCACTTGAGAATAAACTTAATGAGACTTACAAGGTTGGTATCAACCAGAGAACATTGACAATACTGTAAAAATTAAAAATGCACTGATTAATGTCTGCTAGCCTTACACGACTTAATATACCGAAGGTTTTGCTATCTAATATTGATTTCCTTTCTTTATTGTTTATAGCTTTCTACTTATTTCAGGCACTTTAGTAGCTGGAGTATTTCCATTATCCCTGGTTTTCCCCTTAATTTTGTAATATCTTATAAAACTTGAGTATGTATTAAATAATGGCTTTTTGTTACCCACATATATTATCCATTGAAAATATTTTTATTTTTTCAGGAATTAGAAGATTCTAAAGAACTTCTCGATGCCCAGGCTGAAGTGATTTACGTCATAGAAGACCAGCTGAGTCTAACTCACGGTTTATTTGATGAAGTGGCGCCTGAGGACAGAAGCGTGTATGTTTTTATATATGCATTATTTGAATGAATCAAGAACGAATAGATTGTAAAATTGGACATCGTCCATCAGATAGGCTAATGCTTGTGAATAGATTTAACGGTTGTTTCTTGAATGACCTGTGGATGTCGGGCATGTTCAACCAGTTTAGATACTGTATTAATGAAAGATTAAAGTGTTTATTTAGTTTTTGATAAAGGTAAAGCCTATTTTAACAGGGCGGTAGACACCAAAGACACATTTGGCTCATTTTTTAAAGAAACTAAGATTCCTAATTTACGTTTTATGCATGAAATATGTGTCATGAAGATAAATTTTAGTTGATGATAGAAATGATAGAAACCAGACTGGAACTGTTAAAAATCGTATTCTTATTGAATTCGAGAAAGCTAAATGTCCCAAAATTGACCGGCATCGCGAAATTTATTTAGGAATCTGTTGGGTAGGGCTCCACACGGGCTCTCTATATTGCTTTGCAGCGAAGCTTACAAAATGTTTAATGATACCGAATTTCCTAAGACATTACTTACAAACTATTTTACTACACTATAGGGACGATAAATTAGCAAAAAGTTAAGAATACCCAGGACCATTGCTATCAGGCATTTACTTCACGTTTCTTTGGTTTTTTTGCTTGCTGGAGCATGAATATTCCAAATGAATAACCAATTTGCTGTAAATAAATTCTAATTTTTGAGTTTTGGTTAAGGTTTGGTTAAGAGAGTTTTCTTTAGAAAATGTAGGGCATGCGGTATTAAGAAAAAATTTAGTTGGTTGGATAATTGAAAAAATCTGTTTCCCTTCATTTATTGACAAGAGTAATTTGTTGTGAACAACAATCGTGTAAGAATTTAAGTAAAGCAATATTGTTTTTACCTCATTTTTATTTCTTCTTTGTCGTATTTCAGGTTGAACAAAACGGCAATGCATTTGAATGGGAAGCTAGAATTAGAAAAACGAGCGTTGCGCGAGGCAGACGAATGTTTTAGATTAAAAAGTGACGAGTATGCGACCATTGAAAAGACCTTAAATGATATGAAGTATGATATTTCCGATGTCAAGAAGAGATACAATGCGTTGCAAAGGTATAGGTTTTGTTATTGTTCATTTTGTTGTTGCTTTTGACCATGCAATTTGTCGCACGGCAGGGAAACGGAGAGTGTCAAGAAGGTATAGTGAATATGAGAAGTAGGATTTGTTGGTTAAGGTGTTAAAGTGCACCTTAATTTTGTTTCCAGGTACTTAAAACTCTTGCCAAAATTGCAAGTTGGAACACTTGCTCCAAGCTAGACCTTTTTTGAATAACCCCCCCCCCCCCCATTCCCCATTACAGTGTTGCTCAATTTTGGCGTTTTGAAGGTAAACATTCTGTCACTGACAGCTGTACGAAGGTATTGAGAAAATAAATCAACATTGTACAGAGGAGGGGGTCAAAGTTTTGGAAGCAACTTTAATATATTGATAAGGGAGTTTTAGACTTTTTTATATGTTTCTATGCCGTCAGACGAAAGCGTTGCGACCGAGGGGCAATTCACTCTTGCAAATAGCGTACGAGATTTTCCCTAAAACAAAAGGATTTCTAGGGATTTTCAGATAAAACAATAGAATTTTCACAAAAGGTGTACGAGATTTTCTTGGAGTGATTTGCCCCTCGGTTGCGACCATTTTCGGCAATGAATGTAGGCCTTTCTGGCCCCTTACCTGATCTCAATTCAATATTTCTTTTTTAATACTGTGAGAACCGAGAACTAGGCGGCCACTTTGGCGAGGGGCAACATTGTTATCCATTTCGCCACATAGGAGCGACCTATGGTACATTGCAAAAGCTCGCTTATGATTGCAAGTCTATGTCTGTAGACGGGCGATCCCTGTGAACATTTCCCTACACGTTGCATTTTGAATGACTGGGTATCATAAATTTTCCATTTTAAAAGTTCTATGGACCTACACTGCAGCTTCTTTGTTGGAATGGACTTTTAAAATTATCTCTTATCTAAATAAATAATTTATTTTTTAGTAAATTGATGGACAGTAATCCAGATCGGGCCAAAGAGTTTCACGACAAGGAAAATGAAGGGTGAGTTTCATGTTTTGATCGCAGCCTAATCATGCACCGCTCTCGAATAATCAATATCTGACCTTTTCAAGCCATTCCTTTTCATTGTTCATTTAGCTGAAGATGAAGGTAAGACGAACCTGTCTCTAAAGCCTGGTTTCCATATAGCCGTAAGGCTGCCTGCGACTGCCTGCGACTGCTTTCTGCCATCTTCCATCTTCCACTCTTACAGTAGCGCCGGCAAATGGAAACGTTTTGTTTGCAATTGCCTGCGGTATCGGTAACTATTCCGGTAACTAGGTAAAGTTTGAGCGGGAAAAACTGGCGGGCAAAATTCAGCAACAAAGCCCTGTTTCAATTGGTTCTTGCACATCACAAGATCCGTTTGAACAAAAGAATGCCGCAGGCAGCCGCAGGCAAGGCGTTTCCATTTGTAATTTGTCTGCCGGCGGTACCGGGAGGCTGCCGTAAGAGCCGGGAAAAGTTGAACTCGTTCAACTTTCTCCCGGCTCTCCCGGCAGTCTTACGGCACTTCAAACAGCTGCCTGCGGTACCGTTAGAAAGCGTTTCCATAAAAAATTATCTGCCGGCGATACCGTAGAGATGGAAGATCCAGATGGCAGAAAGCAGTCGCAGGCAGCCTTACGGCTATATGGAAACCAGGCTTTACGGCAGCCTCCCGGTACCACCGGCAGACAAATTACAAATGGAAACGCCTTGCCTGCGGCATTCTTTTGTTCAAAGGGATCATGTGATGTGCAAGAACCAATTGAAACAGGGCTTTGTTGCTGAATTTTGCCCGCCAGTTTTTCCCGCTCAAACTTTACCTAGTTACCGGCATAGTTACCGATACCGCAGGCAATTGAAAACAGAACGTTTCCATTTGCCGGCGCTTCTGTAAGGGTGGAAGATGGAAGATGGCAGAAAGCAGTCGCAGGCAGTCGCAGGCAGCCTTTCGGCTATATGGAAACCAGGCTTTAACGTACTCTAATTTTGATAACGTAACAACGTAATCTAATTCAGCATAGAAAAAGTTAAAATAATCCCCTTCTGTTAAAACATTGCGTATTATATCCTTACTTTACGTGTTACTTTATCTTTCATTGAAACAATACTTGATTTGTTTTTTTTTAAATGAAACTCCTAATACTGTTTGCTTTGGTTTTCATATTGGTTGAAGTTTCAATTAGAGCTGCGCTTCCAACCACCGCTTCGACTTTGAAGACAATTTCCTTTGTTTTGCTTGGACGACGAAGGAACAAATTTACAATTGTAGATATTGCAACACTAAGTGGGAATCACAGTCTGATTAAACACTTGATGATAAGAATAAAAGCATCGATCATTGTAAATGAACTTTCATGGATACAGCTTTCTGTTTTTACGATGATCGTCGTGTGTGTTTCGTACGGATCTTAGGAAATTGCAAGCTGGAAACCAGCAAAGCATAAACATTATCTTATTCGTTCAGGAATTATCTCTTATTTCTACTTCCTGTTTTTTATAGTATTTACGATGAGCTCCCTGCATTGAGTTGTCAACGGGAAATAGAAGAGCTACCTCAAGATTCTTGGCTACTTGGAAAAGTGACAAGGTCAGAGTTTCACTTTAATCTGCATTGAGAAGCACGCTGGATTCTCTCCCCCCCCCCCCCCCCCCATCAAACCATTGGGAAATTAATTTTGTTTGAATATGTTTTTAGCTGTAGGTTTAATTACAAAGACATATAATACCTCTTGAGAGTAGATTTATCATAAAAGAACTGCAGTTTCAGGGGGTTTGTCTTGTTTTGGTTGGCGTTATTCATTACCGTAACAGTTTACAGGCCAATTATACTTTGCTATCAATAAATTTCAGTGCGTCCTAGGGAGTAGCCTTATTCTTGTTCATGGCCTTGATATTGGGAACAAGGACTTCAGTCCTCTAAATCCATGGGTATAAGAAAGTCCGTGCAAATTTTCATCAAAATGCATCTTTGGCGTTTAATCTGGTTGCCCTTTAAAAACTGGAATGACACCTGTTTTCCGCGGATCTGAGCAAATTGTACCTTGTGATGGGTTGCCTGTTTCATAATATTAACCTCAATCTATTATTTCATAACAACAATGATTTTGACACTGTGTGATTTATATCGACGTTGTCTTATCTTGCTACGATCAAGCTAATTATGCTCTATGATTAGAAATTAAATTTGCTATCGTTTAAATTCTTCCCATATCCATACTTTTTGTGCTGCCTTTAGCTTGTATGTTGTCTTTTTTTAGCTTGTTTTTTTCTTTTATATTGGATTCTTGATAAGCTTCGCTTTTGTATGATTGTATGTTGTGCCAATTCAGCTGTACTTTTAAGGTTGCGTTGTATGAAATAAGTTGAATTGGATTGAATAAATTGCAGTCTTTCGTGATCAACAACTTGCCACGTTGAACAATTGATATTATGGCATGCCACGAGAATGGTTTGGTACGGATGATTATGTTAAGCAAAAAAAGCAGCGAATGAGCAGCAACAGCAACACAAAACAACGAAAAATAATATGCAGTGCATCGTATTGGTTTGACTAGTCAAAGTTTGGTCGTTGCCGTGATCTCCTTTAAGATAATGTGTGCCAAAAATTGTGAGATGTCTAGCTTCCTTATTTTTCTGTTGAATATGTAATCTTTATTTTTGCATCCTTTACAGGGACGAAGTTCGCCGTTTGCTCAATGGAAAGCCCGATGGCACATTTTTCGTCAGAGCAAGTGAGCGGAGGCCTGGGTTCTATGTCATATCGTTAGTGTAAGTATGTTAAGGAAAATATTTATAATTGTATGATTTCAAATTTTTTTTCATATCAAAAGCTATAACTATAGCTTTAACTATCGTTTCAGATTTTCACTCTCTAAATTTAGAACAAGCTCAGTGACCAATATCAAAACGATTATTTTCAAAGCCTTGCTAAATTTTCTTTAAATACGCGCCAGCTCCCTCAAGAAAGAGAAGAATGTTTCAAATCGTTACATTGTTTGTTATTTTTCACAAACGACCCCATGTTTTCTTTTTTTTCAGAGAAGGGTTTTCGAAATTCAGGCTTATTAGTTTGAGAAAGCTTGACCACGTTTTTAGACTCTTTTACAGATAATTAAACCTTCTGATGTTTTCTAGATTGAAGATCACAAAAATTTGAAGGTTGTAATTTTCCTGTTTTTAGGCACGATCAGTCAATCAAGCATATTCCAATCGAAAGAGGACCACGAGGGTACGGATTCGCTGAGCCATATAACATCTACGTAGATCTGAAATCTTTAGTACATCACTACCACAAACAGTCTTTGAAGATGCACAACCCATCTCTAGATACTACACTCATGTTTCCAATTCGATATATAGAGGATGATGACAATATATATATGGCATTTTCAAATCATCGTTAGTATGGATAGTTTCTGTCATTCTAGAATTATTTGCGTATGATTAGATAGAGGCCTCTTTTGGTACAATGTTTCCCCCAAACAGGAAAAATATTTTACAGTCTGGGGTGCATGTACAAAAATTTTTCTGATGAAACCTATTTTGTCTCCAACTTTCAAGACGAAGGGTTCCCCCCTTCCTGGGCTTTTTAGGCCTATTGATGTCTCCAAGTCTTGTCTTACATCATTATTTGAGAAATTTGTAGCCGAAAGTTTTTTATCGCTGTAATTTCATTGCGAAGATCCCAGGGAGTGAGCATACACGGAGTGAGTTAAACAATCTTTGAAGATGATTAATGTTGTCACTGCACAGAGTTATAATGCCGTTGTAAAATTCTTTCTGTAGTTAGTCCTCTCTAAGGAATCGACCTGATGAATCAAGACCTTGCGAGCTCATTTCTAATTTAGCCCTTCCCAATCTCTACTGCCCCTTGTTACTCTCCAAACCTAGGCCAAGCTTTAGTTCTTTAAGAATCGTCTAGATATGCCTTATAGTATGGATTTGCTTTGAATTGTTCACATGAATCATGCTTCTCTATAGTTTGCAATATTTTTGTAGTATTTTAAGGTGTACATTACAAAGTTGTTGACGAGTAATGGTAGAATTAAATCTTCAATCTTGATTTAAGGTATTTCTAACATTCGTCGTGAAAAAGATTATATTTCACATCTGAATGTCAATTACCAGAACCTGCTGCTAGGAAATAAAATTTGAAAGGTATTTAAGCCTTTTTTAAACAACTGTTCTTCAATAGGCACTGTACATGGTTAGCAACCCATCTCTCACTCTGATGCCCTTTGCAGGCAGTATGATATACACCCAAATTGTCAACATGTTTGTTGCACCACATCCACTCAAACGTGGCCCACGTGCTTCTCAATAAATAATGTAGCCTTCGCCAGCATGTTTGAAATATTTATTTAAAGCCTATTTTGCTGAATATATGTACCAAGTAAAAAATAAGGTGTACTTGAAAAACTCGATGTTAGGTTGGTAACTATTCACAAATTTGTAGCACTTTTTCAACCATGAGTGTCTGTCGCTTTGTTTTCGATGAAAACCCTACTGTAACACGTCATCACCAACCAGGACTTATTATATACAGGTTAGTTTACGTTTTACCTCCATCAGACTCCATTGTGGCTTGTCTGGCCCATTCTCTGGGCGTATAAGATTTTGAAAATTATTTTCAAATCAGAGATTAATTTCGTGAATTTAGGTGATAATTGAGATGAAATCTGTATACGAACATTCGCTCTCTTCCAGTCTTCTGCCTGTCGTTTGTTTCGAAAGAACGTATTGTTTCGCTTTGCCGTTATTTCAAAACATTGCAAAAAATTTTAGCAACAATTGAAAACAAGCACTAAGAACAGTGAAACGTTTTTTAGGGGTACAGAACTTGAAAATGGCTTTGAAAAAAGCAAACATTTTACAACATATTGGTTGAGTATATATTTTTTAGCGTGTTCTTTCGGTCCCTTATTTTGACGTTTTATGCTCTGAGGAGTGCCAGACGAAAAAGCTTTTAGCCAATATGTTGTAAAATGTTTGCTTTTTCCAAGCCATTTACTAAGAACAGTATAAAAGCATTTTGCTTTAAAACAAAGAGGGAAATACGGATTATTTGGACAAAATATTTCTCGATTCCGCTTAACCAGGTACGTGAATTGACGGATATTTTTGGGAGGGTGAAGAGCACAAAATTCCCCACTGACGATAAGCCTATTGTGATTTTATGCTAAAGTTCTAAGCCTCTACTTACAGAAGCTTAACCTTAAACTGTTTGCGCATTTCTTTTCTGAACTGAGAAAATTCTCGGCATTAGAGTTAAGTTATACTGTTCTTTGACGTACGCAAGCAATGGTATTACGACTTAGATGCTCCGATTATTCTTGAAAGTTCCGACTAAAACAAATAATTTCAAAGATTTGGGGGTAGTAACACACCCACTCCCCCTGGCTTTTACGTGCTTGCTCCTGACCCAAACAGCCTGCTACTACTGGGAAGTGATAAACAAAATTCCAAGAAAACATTCCATACGAAATAAAATGCAAAATTATGTAACGTTTGATGTTGCTCAATGAATTATTAACGGTAATTTGCACGGAGTTATTTTTCAACATTGACTCAGCAGCTTTTCATATTTCATTGGTAAGTAAGGGGTTATACTTAGGTTGAAACTATGTCGCGAGTGAAGCAACAACTTTTGAAGTTCCTATTTGATTTTGAATAATCGCGCACTTTTCCATCCCATAATGCACTTTGTTTCTCCCAGGGTGCCCCTGTATCGGTCCAAGAATGCATTTCGCGCCGTGTTGCAAAGATTCTGTATTCGTCCCAGTGCCGCTGTCTTTTGCGAGGGTATAAGATGTGAAGTAAGACTTTGGCAAGCGTCATGACTCGCCTCAACCAGTTGGAGCTAGATGCTCGCCGAAGAAAAATTGGCTGCAGGCATTCATGCCGCCCTCACCCCAAGAAATAAAGGCACGGCTAGATAAAGTTGTTGATCAGGAAGGAAATGTAAGTATTTTTCATGAGTCCATCATTTTTATCGGTATTGAAAGTGCGATTTGCCATTGGATGTTCTGATTCATGATACCCTCGCCATCTTTGATAGGTGCTGGATATGGCCTCAGTGTTGGAAATCGTGTCTGTTCTAGAAAAAATATCAATAACAAAGGAAGCACTAGAGGTGAGTTAAGCCTACGTAGTATTATGATAGTATATCTTTGCTTAATTGTTCCTTCAAGCTGAATGTAAGACATGAATGTCGTTAAACATTGAATCGTAGTCGTCGCGGAACCCCGAGCCATATGGCCTAAATTACTAGGCCAAGTGATACAATACATGACTTTTTATGATTCTTGACTTAAGATATACACAGATTTCCTTATTTTTGTATGTTTAATAAATTGCAACTTAAAGTGTAAATGAGACAACCATGTTTACTGAGATTTTGGATAGTTTTGATTGGGAAAGTCTTTACGTAACCTGTTAATTATTTGTTTGTAATTTAGAGCTTACCATGTTCTTGCAATATTGTTTCGCTTTGATATTAAAATATAAATAGAAGGCAATTTTTAATTTTTACAGCTAAAAGTTTTTGTGTTATTTTTTTTATAAAATAGTATTTGATTTCAAAACAGATGTGCCATCCACCTCAGTTATTGCCATTTTTTATACAATACGCCATTTTCATATTTTGATTTCACATTTTCAGGGTTGTTAACAACAACTCCAAATTTAACTTTGTATGCTTCTTTTACTGTGGTATCTTCTGTGTTATTTTTTTCAAAAATGTTTAATCCTTTATTTAAACCTTGCTATTTTTTTATCAACTCCTTATTCCTGATCAGCTCAATTATTTTTCATTTACTTCCAACTACTGCTTACATGCCTCTCTAAGAGGGGTCTGCAAATTGCCCCCTTTCTGTTTAACAATCAAAGTGTCTTCATTATTATTCATCATTATTATTATTCCAATATTCCATGACAACAACAATAATTTATATTGTATCATTTATCACACAGTTCTAAAAGAAATTACAGGATTTCTGTACAGCAAAAACATATGAAAGCATAGAGTATTAAACAGGGTTTTTCAGTCTATTGGTGAAATGATACTTAATTTTTTTTGAAATTTTTTATATCTTAACTGATTTTTACAGGCCACAAGGATAGGAAGGGTCATAAACTTGATGAGAAAAAAGACAGACAATGAGGATCTGGCAAAAAGAGCAAAAAGGCTTGTAAAGAAATGGCAAAAGCTTGTCAGCAACCACTTCAAGAATTTGGCAAAATCCATTGAGTTATCTGGAAATGGAGATAGTGGAAAATCCACACCAACCTCTCAGATTAATGGTGTTATTAGGGAACAAGAAGAAAGACCAAAATCTTGCACAGAAATTCCAACGAAAAAAGGTATAAAAAGAAGGCGTACAAGTGTAAGTGCTGAAAGTTCCCCATTAAGCGACAAAGATGTTGCAAAATCAGATAATTCAAAAAAGTTAAACAATGATGGTAGTTTAAAGGAGGTAAAAATTTTAATAAATGATGAATCAAGTTGTCAATCTGCCAAAAGTTTTCAAAATGGACAGCATAATGCTTTAGGTATTAAAGTGAATGTCCAGAATTCATCTCCAAGAGACTGTATGTTAACTGAAAATAATAGGCTTAAAAATGAAAATTCAGCACCTGAAGCTATCAAATGTCAAAATGGTGATAATTGTAAACAAGAAGATGATTGGATTGCAGTTCCTGAGTGTACTTCATCTAAACAAGAATCTGTTGCATTGTCTAATAGCACTGTTCCTGTTGAACCCCCTTGTGACATTCCAGAGGAAAGTTTATCTGTGGAAAGAAAACAGTTGCCAGAAGATTGTTTTGATCCAGTTGCAGAAGCTGATGGCATTAATGGTTGCTATGATAGAGATGGTACATGGTGTTCTTGGTCAGAAAGTTTCTCTCAGAATAGTCATAGTTTGTCAATTCTTCCATATGTGATGTTAGAATAAAGGAAGTCTTTATGGATTGGGTCAATATCCCAGCCTGTCTAGATGTCTACAAGACTATGGTGAAAGTATCTGTGGTTGATCGAGTATCTGGATATTTTAAGGGAGCACAAGCAGGTGAATTAAGGGTTTCAAGCAGGGGATGCTGGTGCTTTTGTGCAAATCTTAAATATATTTTCATATAAATCATGTTCAAGTCCAATACAGATTCCTTGAGAATTTGGTGGAACTTCACAATTCCTAGAGTGGTATGGTAAATTAAGGTGTTAAATTTTCCAAAATAATTTTGTTTTTATGCATGCTCTAAGCCAGAAAGAATATTGATGATTAATCACCAATCTTCATCATTATTAAATGGCCAGCAAATATGCCTTTAAGTAATAATTCTTATGGAAACTTTGAAAAGTAGTTTAAAGATATCAAGCTCTTTTCTTCTTTTAAAAAGCGAGAAGTAGCTAACAGCAGGTTTCATCAATGTTGAAGTTCCTTTTTTGAGCCATAGGTAATAGGTATGTTAACCATAGGTATGTTAACAGTATACTTGACTTAGTTTCAGTTTTAGTTAAGTCCTTTCAATGAGATTATCTGTTAATTCTGATTTCAAGAATAGTATGTGCTCAAGTCCTTTCTTGTTGCAATATCTGCTTTAAGTTTTGTTTACCAGTTGGTTATGTATTCTAGATGACATTTAATCCTACTCTAAAAAACATTACATTTGTGCAGAGTTAGTATTTCTACTAGCAGTGATAATTTTCATAAGCAAGCTCCCCCTTTCAGTTTCAAATGCATGAATTATAGCCAAAGACTACTAAATGTATTGAAAGGTTGCTGTCTAGTTAAAACGATTCAAAATGAATGTCATATATACTGTTTTCATATGATCATTATTGCAAATTGTTTCATCCCCAAGCACCATAAAAATGTTAGATTTTATTTGCTTGAAGGATTTTTTGGGTTTTACAGATTCTTCTTTGACCACATGTGAACACAAGTTTTCTGTCAAGGAAGTGATGTATTGTAGAAATAAAGTTATTTTGTTGAAAATTTGTTATTTGTAGCAACCTAGCAATCAATGCTAGGTCTTTTTGTTAAAATAAGATGGTGGAATTGAAGAACAGGATTACTTTTCCACAAGAAAAGGGACTTTAGTATACTTTGTAAGTAGAACGCCCAGAAATGCTCACATAGATTAATAACTTAGTTGTTGTATTTTCATGAAGGAAAGTCAATGGTACATCTTAGCTTGTCTTTTCTGTTTTTGTCCTGTGTGTAAGCAGTTTTTATATAAAACACAGCTTTTTTGCTCTCATTTGTAAGAGATTTTTGCTGGTAGCAGGTGAAATAAACAAAATCAGAAAAGCATGAAAGTCTACAGTATGTATTTGTTTTAGTGGCTTGTGTACAGATAGCCTCATCTTTAGATAGCAAGGGAAACCTTTAGAACACTCTATTACAAGAAAAAAAGAATGTTTGCAGAGACTCTGACCTTTCAGATCTCTTTTCTGTATTATAAAACCCTACAAGAATTAAAGTTCTGTAAAGTATTAATCAATAACAACATATCTGAATTGTAGCTAGCAAGATATATTCATTTAGTCACCAATAAGGCCAAAGTTCTGTACATGTTCAATGAAATCGTAAAAACCCAGTTTACTTGTGGCCACAATGATAAAATTTAGGCCCTGGTACGCACTTTTGACAAATTAGGAATTCAACTTCTGACAAATGATGAAAATGTGGGTCGCTAGAGTATAGTCGTGCCAAATTTTAATTACCTTAAATTAAGTTAACTCTAATTATAGAATGAATGTAAAATAAGCGACTTTTTTTAAGAGTTCAGAACATACGGCTTTTGAGTTTTTAACTTTAATCGGTTCAGCAAGTTCGACGACGACCTAAAGTTTATCTTCATAGGAAGTTGTTGCCTTGGCGATTACTAGAGCGACTAACAAACTCTCCATCAAAACGAGATTTACCAATAAAGCTAAAGAAGGCAAACAGAAATATTGTTCGGTACCACTTGCCAAGGTCAACGATTGTCATGCAAATGGTGAAACTGTAAACAAATGTTGGGACGCTGTAGTTTCATGGCAACAGTCTTTAAGTTAATGTTTATTCGATAATGGCATGCTTTGTGGGAATCTTGAAGAGGCTATCATTTCAGAATACTAGGAGGTAAATTAATTATTTGTACTTTCGTGCTACCTGGAAATTTAGGCCATTGATTTCCCCCCGACAAAGTGCAATGTTTGTTTGCATGCTAAGAAAAGAAATCTTGCTAATTCAGTTTGGGAAAATGCTATGATACCCGTTTGCAAAAGTTTTTCACTTAATATAGGATCAATCGCCAATAAATTTTTTACACAGCTCGTCGTCGACAAGGTCCTCGTGTCGTGTTGTACATCATATTGATTTGCAAACACCCAAAGTACCCATGGGATTTGTAAAAGGCAGTTCAACAGTACTCATAGCTCTTTCATTTTCAATGTTATTTATCCGTGCGTCTTAGGAGGTTTAGTAATTTTTATCAATTGTGTATGCATTGATGCTGAATTTCGGACGTGTGCAAGCGCTTCAAAAAGTTTAGAAAGTCTTTCATCTCATGAATTGTCGTAGTCTAGCCAAGAAGAAGAGTAGCAATAGTCGTGCTAGCTGATAAGGGCTTATGGGCTTTGCCATTATTTTTCTAACCTAATGGCAATTTTAGTCTTTTCATTTCAACATGGAAACGTCTACGAAAACAGAATTACTCTTTAGATTAAATTAACTAATTCTTGTGAGAGCATATAAACTGAACGACAGAATGAAAAGGAGAAAAAATAAGCATCTAAGTCAGTGATTATTTGTGTGGTGTTGTTTCTCCTGGCTTCTGCAAGAGCAACTTGATATATGTTGGCCTTTTTCATTTGCCTGACCCCAGAGTTCAAAAGGTTATCTGTCAAGGCTGATTAGAATGTAGTTTCTGAATAGATAAACATAGCTTAGGCCTTAACATCTCCTAAAAATAACCCAAAAAGAATCGACAGAACAGCACAATGTTTTGGTATTGAAAGTATATAACTTAAGAATAAAACTACAATTGGCTTATTTATCAATCAGAAATGTTGTATCCATCACCCATTCAAAATACCCATCAGTTTACATAGCTGCTGTTATGCATCAAAGACTGAAAAGTAAATGATTTTGACATAGGTTCTATCATTTTTATGTTCATAATGCAGGAAGCTGGAAAGCTTAAATTATTCTCATTTTAATTTATTATAATAATTTATTATTCTCGGGCATCAAAAGACTAGAGATTCAAAAACAAAAATGAAATAGAAGAGCATTTTTGTATAATTCTTCAAATATCTCCATTTATTTTAAATTAATCCAATTCCTTTATCAGATGGTGATGAAAGTTGTATCTAAGAAGTGATTTCAAAATGGATGGCGTTGTCCATCAAGGATCAAATAATGTATATGAATCATTGGAAGAAGAGGAAGATGATGAATCTGAAGATAGTGAATCTGACAATGCAGTTCCTTTAACTGGCAAAAGCTCTATAACAAGCCAGGTCTCTTCAACCCAGTCAGGCATTAGAGTGAAATCTGGTTCAAAGAAAAAGAAACCAACAAAAAAGAAAAGATCTCGCATTCTTGCTAATTTGGCAGCCACAAAGTTTTCAATTGGTATGAACATTTTTTACTCACCAAAATATAATCATAGAGTTTGTTTCAGCAGTTTAACCCTTTTTAGTGATTAATTAAAGAATGATACCAAGAAAAAATTAAGGATACTTTGTTAGTTGGAACCTTTCCAAATATTATCTGAAGATTCCTCTTATTTTCAGAAATATTGTCAAGCTCTGACTATTTGTTAAGGATATGAATGTCAGTTGCTAGAAACACCTTTTCCTAACGAATTGTTGCTAAAAATAACTTTTCATCGCTTTTTAATTTTACTCAATGGATTATTTTTCAGAGAATATATTAGGCCATGATTTTCTTTTTTAGTAAGAAAAGTTTGTAGTGACTTGGGAATGAAGGTTATTGATACAGATAGCCCAGATTGGTAAGGAAATTTTGCTTTTTGCATAATTCTGATTATGTTCTTTTCATGCTAACAAACCACCTTTTTTCTTAACATAAAACCTTCCTCCATTGACTTTTGATATTGGAGTTCAGTGGCGTTGCGTCAAGGCATCATCAGCGTGCTTGCAGGGGGGAGCAAGGGGGTATTAGCCCCCTTGCTGATCAAATATCAGGGGTGCCAAAATGAATCTTCACTTTAAAGGACGCTTGCCAAATGGCTAGCAAGCGAGGAAGATTTACATAAAAGAACCCAACAATACTAAATGCATACAGAACAAGAATCACCTTGCAACATACCAGCCCTTCCTTCTTACTAACTTTGATGTGCTTAACAACGATCGTCAAAGACCATCTCAAGATGGCACACTAAATCTAAATGATTTTTGCGTAAGTAGAAACGAGGGGCGTACCAAGATAGGAGGTGTTTTTGAGGAACCTGCCGATATTGTTGGGCTTGGCAGTGAATGTCCAGAGTAGGCTCCATTTTATAAAATTATTGGGAGGGTACTTATTGGGAGAGAGAATAATAAGAAATGCTAGGAAGAAAAAGCTGAGAGATCATGTCCCAATCTGAAGAAAATTATGTTGCATAAGCTAAAAAATTTAACAGCGACACGCAAAAAATCGATTAAAACCATCAAATAGCTTTCAGCCTGTAGAAACTGATTTAAGGTAAATCGAGCATTGTTAAAAATTGCTTCAAAAAGTGTGTTGACCAGCAAGTCTTGGAAGGAAGGTCTGATAACTATGGTAGTTTTCTTTAATCGAAACACTGTATTGCGGATGATGGTCTATAAGCAGCTAAAGAATTTCAGGTAATTTTTTTGAATCAGGCAAATTTGTAGTAAACCCAAACAAGGCCTGCTTCAAACGGCCTTAGAACCATATTTTGAAGAAAGCTTATCAGTATAGAGTACCGAAATGATGACGTCATAAAAATATTTTTAAGAATTTTTTAATTTTGATCCCTAAACCTGAAAGAGCATCATGAAATACAGCTAAATCTGCAAATTCAGTTAAAGGTATTACGAATTGTAGAAAATTGAAAAATAATTTGTCTTATCTCTCAAAATTAAGCACTTGACAAGTAAGACATATTTAACTGTATCAGAGATTGTTCACTGAGTGTTTCAAACGTATTGGCTTTGAACATTCTAGGAATCCTTTTCTTTTTACTTTCATGCTTCTTTGACCATGCAGTGCCAGAACCCTGTGTGTTTGATTCTTTGAATGCAATAAAATTGAAGTTTTCACCGCTTCCTTTTTTATTAGTATGCTCATCTGGAGTGATTCTCCTGTCACAGTTGATAGGATTGTGGACCTCAAACTTTTTCAGGTATTTTTATGCAACATTTTTTTAATGGGAAAGGAACATATTCGGCTTGAAAATGAAACTTTTTTAACAGAATCTGAACCAGTTTCATAGAAAACCCCTTTTACAACAAGATAAAAGGCATTGATTGACTGTTTACAAAACCTGTTTTCAAAATCAGTATGAGGCAACTTCATGCCATCACTCTCAAGTTTATATCAAAAGTGTTGCAGCACAAATTATTTGAGTATAAACTTGCCTAGGTGTATTGTTTGTTAGAAATGTAAATTATAGCAATTACTGAATCTAGGTGATTGTTAACTGTACTTAACACGTTTTCCCAAAAGCAAAATATTCTTTTCATAGCAAGTTAGAAAGCCATCCTATGCAAGTTAATAATTGATGCATTATTTGAAAGCTGTTCAAGATTTCTTGCTTTTTGCGAAATTATAACATGCTTTGCTTCTGGTTTTTGCATTGATAGAAAATAAACCACTTTCCTGGTATGTGTGAAATCTCACGTAAAGACACATTGGCTAGAAACATGTCAAAGTAAGTATTTTTATAGCAGAATATATAAAGTTTTTCATCATTTCAATTTTGTTAACCTTCTCTTGTTCTCTTTTTTATTTGGTGCACTCTGATTTGCAATATGATAATTGCTGCTATGAACCTTTAGCAGCCCTGAAGAAGACAATAAAATCTTGTAATTATAATTTCATTTTTTGTATCGGGAATGGTGTTATTGGTCTTTGCAATATTGGTGATTTCTGTGCGAACCTAACACTGATATCAAAGTATTATCATTTAATGAAAATAAAAAACATTCCTAAGTTTGAAAAGTTGTTATTTTGTTTATGAAGTTTCTTTTCTACTTCTGGTCATTAAACAGAGAGATTTTTCTGATCTATTGTTAACATTTTAATTTTTGTATTACTTACAAAGGAAATTCATTTAATTTCGAAATATTTCAAAATAGGAGGATTGCTAGTGTGACATAAGACCTTTGAAAAAAGAAGAACCAAAAATATGGACTTGTTTGTAAATGCCCCAGATCACTCTCTATTTTTAAGTTACCAGAAATATTGCAGTAGAAGTTTGATTTCTTTATCAATGAAATTGATTTTCTTTTGTTCCTAGAATGCAAAAAGACTGCCCAGATGAATTCAACTTTGTACCTCAAACTTGGAACTTTCCTGGAGAGTATCCTTTTCATAGGAATTGCCTCAAGAGGCTGAATACATTCCTGCAATATGCTTCTCTGCTATTAATGAGCTTTGGCACTGCCCAATAAAGAAATTGATCTAGAAAATAAAATTCAGCTCAGACTGAAGTGTCAGTGAATTCTAGAATCCTAATGTACTCTAATTCAAGCCTAGAATCTCAAACAATTATTTGCATATATACCAAGCCATCTTCTTAAGCATAACCAAAAGGACAATTTACTGTCTATCCTTATTACTTCTTTATATGCTTTAAAAACTTGATTCAAAGTTCTTTGCCCTTGAAGTTCAAAACCCTCACTTAGAGAGTGAATAAAACTCTGAATAATTTAATTTCTGATTTTTTATTAGTCGCTGATAGTCATTGTATTAAAGTTTCTAAGAAAAAATTCGGAAATTTTGTTACCTTGTCAAAATGCGTAACAAAGCTCAAGAGAATTTCATGAGATGCTCAACGTTTGGAATTAGCCCAGCTCTTTACTAAGAATTAACTCTCGCTGTGCCAATGATTGTTTGGCAGTGATATTTGGTCAGTTTCTCAAGTATTATTTTGATACAGAGCTTATTAAACTATGAGAAAAGTATTTGTTTTCACCCTTAAACACTTCCAGATATACCGCCTTCCAGTCTTATCTCAGGGACCTGAAAAAGAGAAAGAAACACAAAACATTTATCATCAAGCCTGCAAATGGTGCTATGGGAAATGGGTATACCTTATAAGCATTTTGCACACTAGGAATTACTACATTTTCATTTACCAGGTACTTCCTTATCCACAGGTGATAAAGTTTGCTTTCTCAACAGCCCGAAACCGTCACCTGAGAAAAGACGATCATGGTGGGCCGTAAACATAGGATAAATTTTTAGTTAGATGTTTTTTGTCTTCATTTGATAAAATGCACTAAAAAGTAAACAAAATAAATCACCCATACGCTGAAGTTAAGCTGATAGTCTTTCATGTTGCATTTAATCCTGGGTCACCCATATCAAAATCAAATATTTGAAAGCTCAGAGTAAGTGCAAACCGGAGCTTTGAGATTTTTTGTTGGGGCGTAACAACCTGACAGCGTTTTGAACCAGGGTGGCTTGTCATGGAACAAAATATGCTGTGATAGTTAAGCGACTGCAATTCGAAAAGACACTTCTATCTTAGAAAAACATAACCCTGATACCAGCTGATTTGCTAATTTTTACTTTTAACCCTTTAATTTGCGATTGGTTAAATTGCTTATTTTGTATGCTGTTTTGTTTTTACCGACTCTGTGTTTTCTAGTATCAAACTTACACGAAGTGCTGATAAACTGCTTCCACACAGTCATGAGAATATAATTGTTCAAGAATACATTGAAAAGGTACGTAGACTAAAATACTCTAAAAGTATTCACCAACATACTTTTAAAGTCGCCTCGTGTATTCTGCTTTTTTCTTAAGGTACCGTGGGCAGTGGCGTACCCATGGCTGCAGCAGCTTGATTTCACCTGCACTGGCTCATATAGGAGCTTGATTTCTCCTGCAAGTTGTCGATGCCAATGGCAACAGGTCTACGCAAAATGCCAAAATGTTTCCCTCCTTGCTAAGATTTGAATCTTATCGTAATTGATGCAGGGAATAAGTACGATACTAACAGAAGATTTAAACTTGCTGAGAATGGCCAACCAATTGCTAGAAAGTAGTTATCATACCACTGAATTATTAAACTTGGTTACCCCAAACCCTTAAAGACATTGAAGTAGTGCCTTTTTATAGCCCCAGGAGTATGGCTTTTGTTGGCTTACCTAGCAAACTATCAACAACAATTTGCAGGTCAACTTTTTTTTCTCTGTCGTTGCCTGTTCACAAGTGAATAAAATCCAAAAAAAATTCACAATGATGACGTTATTCCAGGGGTAAATCGTGTTTAATTTGTATAGCTTTAATCTTAGATAACAGTTTTCTGGGTTCAAATTTAGAGATCTTATTCAGCAAAAAGCTTTAGTAAAGACATCATTTATCTTTAAATTAACTTTTTATCTCAGTATTTTGATGCTTTTTCTATTTAGCCCCTACTGATGGATAACTTCAAGTTTGATCTTCGAATCTACGTTTTGGTGCTTTCCTGTGACCCACTCAAGCTTTTCATATATGACGATGGATTAGTAAGTGCCTAAATCTAGTTCAATTTGCAAAAAGCCTTTAATTGATTATCCTTTGCTTTGGATATTATGATCATTGACCATAGTATCATCGTACCAAAGCCTCTAAAATGAAGAAAAGGGCGGGATAGTTCTATGTGTTTGACAAAGCTTCTTTCATCATTTTGGAAAAGCAAACTAGATTTATGGACAACAGTATGCAAGAACTTTGTTGCAAGCCTTTCTAAAAATGACCTTGATTCTTGATTGTTATATAAACTGTATAGCAAACACCACCCAGAAATCTTTATTTCTCTCTCGCAAGTGACATTTAGGATTTCTTTTGGATTTTTGATGATATTTCTTCCCCATTTAATAGTTGCCGGTTTTCTTAACTCTTCCAGGTTCGAATGAGCACAGTGGAATACTCGGCTCCAACTGATGCAAACATTGTGAGTATTTTGAAACCGTCTCGCAGTCTATTCTTTTTGCAAATTAAACCTTGTTTGAGCACAAACCCTTTTGTAGGGATAGAATGTCTTATTATAATCATTGACCTCATACAAACCACTAGCCAGACCAATTGAGACAGCAACCCAGCACATGTCTGGTGTCATTGATATATGAACCATTTTGGTTTTCTCTCTTCCATTTAATGTTGTTGTTGTGTATGCTTCGTATGCTAGAGTATCGGCTCTGAACTTTGGGATTGTAGCTGTAAAAATATTATCTTGTTTAACTTAACTTTTATAGGGTTCATTTTTTGTCTATTCTTTCGTTGAAAATTCCTATTTCGTGGTGTTTCGAAAAGCCATTTCTCATGGTTGTACGCGCTGTTTTTGGTATCATGCTTGCAGAATGTTGGAATTTTTCCTAGTCGTGTGTGAAGGGAACGGGGTACAAGTTTCTTTGAATTTAGAAAATCTTTACTTTAAAACAAGGTATATTTTATTTCTAACAAATCTCATAATTACAAGCTTATATTAAAGATGCAGATTATCTAAACGTCTATGATGTGTTAATTTGAGGAACTTGTCAACTTTCTTTGGTACTTCAAGATTACATCAATCATGTCGATGCCATTTTCATTGCAGACTTGCCAATTTATGCATCTAACGAACTATTCTGTGAATAAATACAGTGATGCCTTCGTCAAAACATCAACTGAAGACCAAGGTTCAAAAAGGTAAATAGCAATTTTTTTTGGTTTTGTGTTATGAAGTGAAAAGGCTCATGGTGATCTAAATGCAGCTGTAACTAAAGCTGCTTGCAAATGAAGGGACACGGTAAAGGGATTATATAGGCCACTTTTGTCGTTGTCACTGCAACATTATCAAAAGGGCAATGGAATTTATCATTAATCATATCAAAACACTGTTATTCTTTTACATATTAGCTTGTAAGAAGCTTATTATATTGAAGACATTGTGAAAACTCTATTTCTGTAAAACAATAACCTGAGTTTCAAACGCTCATGTAAGATGTTTATGAACTGGCAACTTTTGGGTAGACTCTCTAAAGTGTTTGGCCTTGATATATAATGGAGCTTTGATAGTGTAGAATTGTTGGCGTAAGGTGTTTTAGGGAGTCTTGAATTGCCACATTAGGTAAAACCAAGGTTGTTGACTAAGTATGTGATTGCAATAAGCTAATGTCTAGGGTTTCGGAACCATGTATTCGATTTATTTGAAATTTTGTGTATCGTCATAGATATTGATAATAGGAGTTTTATTTGACACAGAATAATCTTAGGCACTCTAAGATCAAAAGTAACGTCTTTATTTCTAGCTTCTTCTATTTCTAGCACCTTCTATAGTAAGGATCAGTTGTATGTATGTACTGCGTATCTGTTGTAGGCATGCTGTTAGCTGTCTTTTAATTTCAGAAGACTCTGTAGCTTAGATTTTGATGGTCTGCAAAAACAGTCTATTTTAAATTTAAGTGATCCTTTTTGTGAATAAAGAAGCATTTAATTGGATTCTAGGACGTTGAAATTCTTCTTTGAATGGTTGAAAGAGCAAGACAAGAATCCTGACCTTGTTTGGTCCAGTATACAGGTAATATTTCGATTGACTGTAGTTGTTACCAAGTTAATGTCATTCTACCAAAATCCACTGGGTTCCTTTCGTAGCTTGTGTAGCAAAAAGCAGCTGGCTTACAAGATCTCAGAACTTGGCAAAGATAGATGCCTTTTTTATATGAAAATGATACTCCGGTATTCGATGTTTTTTGTTTTGCCCTCTGATGAGATAATGTGTGTTCCCTTTCCATCAATACATTTATAAGCACAAAATTATCTCGAGCCTACAAATTCCTGGGCAATTTCTAATCAAGGGCTAGCTCAGCAATTTTTAAAGCCCTCTTCTTTTCGTAAAAGTCAGTTTTTTCTAAATGGGTTATCTGGTTATTTTGTAGGTATTTTATTGGTTAAGTTTAGCTATCAAGAATTTTCATGATTGAAATGTCATGAAGGTCATCATTTAGCATGTGACATTTGTTGATCCAATTTATTAGAAAATTATTATGTTTTGTAAGATGCCTCGGAAACCTTTTCCGTCTTGCATTAGGAAATGGTAGCCATCTTTACTCTTCGTCAATATTTGTAACTTACTCATTTGCTTCTTTCAGGATGTCGTCGTAAAAACGTTGCTGGTGGCTGAACCCCATGTTTATCGTGCCTACCATGTCTCAAGACCAAGCGATCCCGGAGGAAGTGAAAGCGTTTGCTTTGAAATTCTGGGATTTGATATTCTCATAGACAAAAAGCTAAAACCGTGGGTCCTGGAGGTGGGTTTTTTACATTAATCAGATTGTATCTACCGTAAGGAGCTCTACATATATCGCGTCTCTTGTTTAATATGATATTCAGAATCTCATTCGTTGTTTGTAAGGCTTCCTCTCTTCACTAAATATTTTGGTTGCATATTTTCTCAGCATAACATGATAGATGATGAACAAAGTTTGGCCATATTTATACTCAAAAACAAAAGCAAAGAAGGCGTTTTCATCATCAGTCTTCTAACCAATACGCATTCTATAAAATCTCACGTGATTGATGTATCTTCATGAGAAGCAGGACCCTTTTTGTCTCCACGTAATCCCACAGTTTGATATATTTTCCAAGTCTTTTTCATCTTCTCTTCACTATACATTCTGGTATTTTCTATGAGTATTTCCTTCTTTCTTTTCGCCTTCTTCAATACTTCCTATACCCCAGCTCTTTATTATTTCACTCTTTTATATATAGGTTAACAGAGCGCCAAGTTTCGGTACCGACCAGCCTTTGGATTATGCTATCAAGCGAAATATGCTTCGAGATGCTTTCAAACTGGTGAATATAAGGTATTATCCTCTCCAGTACTTCTCTACTTTGGCTGAATCAAAATACATGTAGAGCACATGCATACGATTTATGTATAATGCATCACTGATCTTGTCAATCTCACCATTTTGACAGCTTGGCAAGTGATGAAAATAATCATATGGGTTTGATAATGTTTCGTGCTACTGCTTGATAATTTTTTTTATGTGTGTTTGCCTAATGATGTTCAAGTTTCCAATTAGTATTTTTGATAGCCCCTTCCAAGATTAATAATTTGTTTGCCCTATATTGGAACTTTTCTGACGTTGGACAAAATGAATTTGCCATCTTCTCTGAGAATTCAAAATCAATTTTCGGTGATATCTATTAGCCGTTCTTTTTCACATCCACAGGTTAAGCGACAGGCGAAGAGGCATTGCTCAAGAAAAAAGAGAAGCTCGCAAACGCCTTCTTAGGCCAGTCAAAAGAAGTGAAAGTTCTTCGGTGAGTTCTTCTCAAAATTTTCTCCTAGTAGTCTGGGCTACTGAAAATTTGAAAATGGAAAGTGATATTTCAAGCTCGAAAAGTAAAGAATCAAATAAGACTCTCAGAGGACCCGAATCTTCAAAAGTAGATTTTCCCAAATTAAACAGTGGTCGAAAATTCAAAAATTAATCTTCTTAAAACACTTTCCAAAAAATTTGATGGCAAATAAATTTTACCTCAAAAAACGAAATCTAAAACTTGGAGTTCAGAATCTTGTTCTACCTTTCACTACTTTGTTACAATACATTTAAGCAACTAAGAGTAAGACTGTTTTAGTGAGAAAACGGCAGTAAAGTGAAGTAATAAAAAACTTCATACTAAAATTCATTTTTTACCAATAATTCCTTGTCAAAAGTCATATTCAAATATTGTAACATCTAATTTCATGGCAAAGGTAAAAAATATTTTAAGAGAAAAAATTGCTCAGTTGGCAAAAATGCGTCAGCCGGGAGTCGAACCCGGATCGATTGCTTGGAAGGCAACCATGCTAACCGCTACACCACCGACGCCTTGGAGCAAATGGCATTCCACGTTAATGCTAATCTGATGTAAAGCCTCCACCGCAGTGAAATTCAACCATAGAGACAGGATCTTATCTGCACGAGTTCAACCTGTTCTATATGCTACGCATTACTAAGCATTTTTTGTTTTTTCTACACTTTTCTTTTCCATCTTTTTCAGAAAGAAGATCGAAGGAAACAGATAATAGAACAAAAACGCAGTGAGCTGGTAGGGTATACACAGATACAATATATTGTCTGACAAGATGTTTGCTAGTAACTTAAAACGGCCACTTCCCTTCTTTCTACAACCATTTTAAAAGACAACACTTTGTAAGAGCACTAAGGCTCGATTTTCCAAAAATATAAAAACAGCGTTAAAACATGCCCTTCCTAAGATGAAAATATTCTATTTTTAAAATTTTCACTCTTGTTAACAAAACAGAGTGGGTTATGTTGAACAACAGTTGTACTAAAATTTAGCCTGTACTGTGCTCCAGCCCCTCTCCTTTTTAATGAGAGGTCTTGAACACAGGCTACTGAAATTTGATAAACGATTTAAGCTTTACGGGAGCTCAGCCACGTAAATAATAATGGGCGTTGCAAGATGTTGCAATAATGGGCGTAAATAATAATGGGCGTTGCACGTAAATAATAATGGGTCACTAAGCAAGACCATTAGATTAAGATTTTAACGAGATACGTTTTGCTTTTGGGTCTGCGGTTCCCAAGCCAATGTGTCGAGTATACCTCCATATGACTCGGTCAATTTCATGTGGGGACACGAACTGTCATTTGATGATAAGAATACTCTTCTCTTTAGTCACTCTTTTGACTTGTCTTTAACAGAAAGTCAGACTTGCCGAACTCCGTCGGGATGCTGCCAAGGAAGATTACGAAAATCGTCACATGGTGAGTTAGAAGTCCCAAAAGATATTTCAACTCTTAATTTCAAATATTCTGACATCCGATTGGCAAAACCGATTGAAGATTTTCCAAAAGCTGCCTTGCCATGGTATATGTTCCAGACCCCCAACCCCCTAAACTGAAAGTAGAAGGATCTGGAACACAGGCTGGCTGCCCTTCGGATTCTCTTTGCTGTCCCTGTACTCTATATATTACTTCGATCCCATGTCCCGGTTCATTGGCCTCTTGTCCCCCTCTCCCCCAAAAGATGTCCTTGTGTGCAGAAGGTTGTACCAATCTTCTAGGACAGTTGTCATTGTTGATAAAAAAGGTCATACATTTGTTTGCAGGGGAATTTTATACGAATTTATCCATCAAACGACAACGTCAAGAATACGAGGTACAAAAAGTTAGCAGAAGCCGCCGCAAAAGTATTTACAGGTATTGGCCAAAAATTGGAAGCTTAACCAATACAATAATGTTTTTTTATTTACAACGCTTATTTAAAATTGCTCTGTGGTAGCTCTGTGGTATGAGGCCAAATGAAATAATCACAGGAAGCAACAGCCTGAACGAAATCCTCCTTTAAAGATCACCTCCTACTCCAACCTGGTTTTCTTATCCAATTCTGTTTTTAGGACATTTCCCCATAGAAAACTATGTATCGAAAGAACTGTGTATTAGAGAAGCATAAAGGCTTGTAGGCTAGGAGGTATTCACTTAAGTTTGGATAAGATTTGTAATGATAATATCCTAAAGGCATTGAAACATGCATGCACCTATTTGACTGATGATGATACCACTCGTAGCATTGTCTACCCCGGGGCATTGTTCATTGCCACTTACCCCGGGGCATTTATCGTCCTTGCATACGTCATGGCAAGTTCTCCTTAAAGTCCAATTTGCTGCTTGGTAAACAGAAGGAAGTACAGTAATCGAACAATCTAAGCTATTTTTAAAAAAGCAATCCATTTTCATGATATTAGATGCCAATATTAGATGCCAAAGCTCTTTGCCATCTTCTTTTTTATGCGACAGGTGCCTGTCCATAAATATGCAATAGCCTTTCCAACATTAGATGCCTTAGTTCATCCCAATTGAGATTATCTGCAAGCAATGTTTTTAAGTATCTTACACCTGTCACTGTCAGCTAAGCACATAAAACTGCTCTGTCTCGAATGTCCAATTCCAGTCCGATCTCATCAACGTGCATGTTACATCAAACTGTTTCCATTCTATACGCTTATTATTGAAATTCGATCAGTTACTGTCTTTCTCAGCTTTGACCTACTTTATTGCATATATTTGCTTTCCTTTTCTTTCTTTTGTGCTTGCAAAATTACTTGTACTGGTGCCTAGGTAAATATGTTTTAGTGCGACGTTCCTTAGCAGGTTTTCTTTAGATGCAAACCACCTAACGCCGACTATTTCACTCTTTTCGATTTTTATTGTCAGCATGAACCAACTCCAACATGGTTCTTATAGCTTCATTGAAGCCGAACCATCAAAGAAGTTCAGTAATCTTTAAATTAAAAAAGACTTATTCTTGAAACACAATTGAAGATTGTTAAACAAACAAAAATTCTTCGAAAGGATCAAGATTTGTTGAATGGTTATTAGGCTTGTTTGACGTTGAGTATTTCTGTCAAAAAGGTTTAATCGTCACTGAGAGCTGCACTTTCTATAAAAATTCACTACAAATGTCTGTCAATGAATTAAGCTAGCAGTTTCGCATATCAATGGAGATGCATCATGAACGACTTTAGCAAGAGAAAACGCACGTTTGGCGGGGTGTTAAGTAAATCTTTTTCTTTTGTTGTATTCGGTTTGGTTTGATGATGAGAAGCACCTTGTTAGTCACCTTAAAAGGAGCCATGCACTAATTCATTACATCGTCGAATGTATCATTGCAAGGCTGATTTATTCATAGCTCAATGCACTGATATGCTTTATAAAGAAACTGTTTAGTGGGCCTAAGTTTTCTGTCAAAGTTTCGAACAAATCGAACGTTGTTTCGGGTCGTACGTTTCCTAATGCTCTTTAACCTGCATAACCTATTTTAAAATGTAGCGATACACTTAGTTTTAAGCTATTAGCAGAAAAGTTTAGATATTTGTATCAGATGTTTCTCAAGAAATGAAGAACTTTACTATTGAAGTATGCTCGATAAGTGACCAGATTTTTTCAAATTGTAAGTTTCCGAATGTTTTATGCCCGGCCTAATTTTTACGAAGCAAGTAAAAGCGAAGCTGCAAATGCTTATCCTGCTCATTCCTAATGCAAGATTTTTGTCACGTTCAGGACGAGATTTTAGTTGACATTTAATTAGACCAATTATTTCTTTGCTGACTTGTGTGGATGTTTTGAAGTTGTTTCAGATACGAACCAGTTGCTTCATCTCTTTCTGCTTATGAAAAATGCATATACTCAATTCTGCTTTCATATGCTAGGCTAAGTGGGGCTTAATTTTCTTAAAGGAGTAAGGGGAGTGTTATTCTTGAAGCCCTACTTTGTTAAATAGACAAGTTTTACACTAATCTTCAATAGTGTAATTTTTAATCTGCAACTCAGTTATTGAGGTCTTTAAATGCTTGAATGGCCTTGCACCGCCTGACTTTATGACGTACTTTCAGAAGATTAAACATTGTAAAGCAACTCGTGGAAACGAACGCAGCTTATTGCTTCCAAAAATGAAATCTGAAGCAGGACGGAATAACCTCAATTTTAAAGTTCAAGACTTTCTGCAAGGATTTTGATTTTGACTTTTAGCATTTTTCTTTAGACTTATCATTGCTTGTTTCTTTTGTAAAACATATTCTAAACATATTTTTAAAACACTTTTATTGTAAAATTATATTAAATTAGTATTGTAAAATATGATAGGAACTCTAGGTTAACAGGTCCTTGGTTGATAGCAGCAAATTATTTTGCTGAACAAGTTAACCTGTATAAATATGGTTTTATTATTATCATTATTATTTATTATTAGGTTATAAGAGCAAGTTCAAATTCCAAGCACACATTTTGTTTAGTGGTCTTGTCCACTTCACCTCCACTAAACTAAGCAGATCGTTAAAAATTTTCTGTCTCGTTATTTTCCTTTTGCCACGTTTAAATTTTAATTGTTTACATTTAGTCACGAAACTAGCTAGTTTTTAAGTAATTTTGGTAGCTTTAGCGATGCTGCAGTTTTTAAACCTTAAATATGGATACAATTGACACGAGCAATTAAGATTTCATCTCGTATGATAAGTTTATAATGAAAAGTCGTTTGAACAGTTTTTTGGCGGTACAGAACTTGAAAATGGCTTTGAATAAAGCAAACATTTTAAAACATATTAACTAAAAGCTTTTTCGACTGACACTCCTCAGGGCATAAAACGTCAGAATGAAGTTCCGAAAGAACACGATAAAAAATATTTATCCAGTTGTGGATAAGTTGTTTGTACAGAAATATATGCAAAATGTATAAGATCATCAGCTTCAATGATAAATATAAACTGTATTTCCCAATGGGAAAGTAATACGGTCAGATGTGCCCAAAGACCTTGTTACTGCCTTCTCCCCCTCTGTTGAAAATTTTCACTCTTTTTTGGAGGAATCAGAAACTCACTGCCACCTGAAAGAAGGGAGATTATGAAATAAAGGGACCCTATTCCCAGCCGTGACGCTACCAGGATCGCCCGAGCTCCCCTTCTTCTTGCTCGGAACCTGATAACAATTTTATCGCGAAGGTTTTTTATGATGAAGATGGCAATCGATGATGAAGATTGCCTGTATCTTTTGCAAGCGCATACAGACAATTTTTTCAGGGTAACAACAGTTTTATCCATTCGGGCTACCATTCCTGCCTAATATCTTGAAATATTAACCTCAGTTTGCAAGGAAAATTAAGTAACTCTTTCTCTTCTTTGAAATAATTATATGCCAAAAACAACGCAGTATTTTTTCATTTAACTTGTATGGTTTTTCCCTAAGCTATCGACATTTCAGAGGATTGAAGGTTAGAGAAGTCGTTGTATACGGAAATAGAAAGTAAAAAAAAAATTGTTGGTGCTCGAAGTATTTTGGAAGGAATTTTAAAATTTAGGCTTCGCTTGGCATTTAGATAAGTTGTTAATGACGTGATCATATTAAATATGCTTCTTTTTCAGGTCGACCTTACTTGCAAAAGGAGGCTGCAAGACAGTTTCATTCTCTAAAGGTAGAACAAATCATTTCTTTCTTAGTTGTTATATAGAATAATTGTAATTTTTTTTTGCGTGTAAGTGCACAAAGCATATGAGAGATTTTGTAGGGGAAAACGACCTGAAAACTCAATTTTATGGGCAGAGGCGTGGTTTTTTAGCAAATAGCTAAAGTATTGATTTTCTTGAACTCTTAATTTCCAACCTCTTTGAATTAATTATCTCGAAGGAATCCAAACATCTTCGATTGGAAAACTAAGCGTAGATCAGTTCATAAACTGACAACCAGCGAATAGTTTCAGCTCACTTTCACAAAGCAAAACAAACTTTCTTATATCTAGCCCTCTCAAGGTGATTTCCATTGTCACCTTGTATCAGTAGCAACCCCACTGCATCCAGCACCAACTCTAAACAAACTGCCAGATGCGTTTCCGTTTGCTAGAGAAATTTTAGATAGATCTTTTGTGGACACGGACTACACGATAGATAGTCAAGGCAGTGAAATTTAGTGAGACACCCCGCATAGGCCTAAGGCACACATTCCTGAACCAAGACTGTATTATTTAAATATTCCTAAAGGTGCATAATATCAGTAAATTTTAAAATCAATCATTTTTATTACAGAGCTAGTGTGCGTTTTGTTTTTACAAGTTTGAATAGCTACATTTTGACTACTCAAAGACAATTTATCATAATTTTTATATGTTTTATCATGAACCAGGAAATATTTTTTAGCTGTATATAGGAAATAAAAAAAGGGGATGCTTTTGACAAACCGGAGCTTTTTATATTGTTTGGCATTATTATGCACAGATGAATTTGAAGTGCAAAGTACTGTATGTATAGCTGCGGGGATCTTTATGTTTTTGTCTTAAGCAACTGTATAAGGGAAAGTTGATAAAGAATGCATTGAATTATATTGGCTAGGAAGAAGAAGTTATTGAGCTGTTAGAGCAGGCAGAAGATGACGATGAAAGGCTGCTTCTCAATGACCTCGACGAAATCTCCGTCAAGCCGCCAAAGGTAAATGTTTCTTTCTTATCAGTTGAGATGATATTGAGCCGTGCGATAGATTACGACATGCAGGAAGTATGTTCTCACGAAGCGTCGTGCAATCCAGAAATTTCATAAATAAATTATATAGTACAATCTGTTGGATTTTTGCGGTGAAGCACGTAATCGAAATATTAACATTGAAACGAAATCAGATAAATTTCTACCGTCTCTAGAGGAAAAATATTGAAATTCCCCAATTTTGTCCTATATATTAATATATATATGCTATTTTGTTATATATATGTTATTATATACACCAAAAATCCTTGAATGGTCCTTACATAGTATTCGTTTCTTACATATATCCATTTTATAGATCTCTAGAGGAAAAATATTGAAATTCCCCAATTTTGTCCTATATATTAATATATATATGCTATTTTGTTATATATATGTTATTATATACACCAAAAATCCTTGAATGGTCCTTACATAGTATTCGTTTCTTACATATATCCATTTTATAGATCTCTAGAGGAAAAATATTGAAATTCCCCAATTTTGTCCTATATATTAATATATATATGCTATTTTGTTATATATATGTTATTATATACACCAAAAATCCTTGAATGGTCCTTACATAGTATTCGTTTCTTACATATATCCATTTTATAGATCTCTAGAGGAAAAATATTGAAATTCCCCAATTTTGTCCTATATATTAATATATATATGCTATTTTGTTATATATATGTTATTATATACACCAAAAATCCAATGGGTCGTTTCTTACATATATATTTTTGAAAAAGAAAAGTGATTATAAGCAAAAATTTAAGATTGTTTTACCAACTCAAAAAACGAAATACCAACTTTTTTATAAAAAAAGCCTATGATTACTGCTAAACAACGATAATCTTATAAAATTTTCAATTCTGGGCCTAAAATTATTCATAAATCATTTTTAAGAAGAAAGTGCAGACCTTTGCTGTTGGTTTCTTTATCAAGAAAACGTTTTAGGAAATCAAACATTCTTGCATAAAAAAATTGAGATTTGTGTTTTTAAGGTCGATTATTTCTACGAAAGGTCTAATTTTGGATGTAATTTCAACTGAACCTTCTGACTATTAATAATGGTAAAACCATGTTTAGGAGAAATGTTTTGGAATGAATTGTCCTTATTTCCTTCACACGAGTCAATCTTCTCTCTCAGGATATTTTTAATGTATTGTAATGTACTGTTAAAGACCTAATTAAAGATTAAATCGGCTACGAAAGGTTTAAATTGAGAGCTTTTAGTTTTTCTCTGCATGACATTTCAGGTTTTTAATTATTAATTGTAACAAAGAAAGGAAGACGTATCCGTAACGTGATACTATTATTTTTCAGTCTGAATATATACCGCTATTATGGTTCACTAATTGCATATAAAAGGTTATGTTAATGATCTTGCATATTGCTATACCTATACTTACGTATGCAACCCACGTGCGGCTCGAGAATCTCTGCTCTCTCGTGACCTTGCGTCATGCGTCATTACCAAAACTACTTGATAATAATTTTATCCTTCGTTTTCTTTTAAATTTGAATTACCCTTCTCAAACAATTTTTATTTCATGCTCCGTTGCTGTCCATAGCACCAAAGTCTATTTTTAAGATTTTAGTGGGCTATGTATATTTGAAGCTCTACCTAAAACTTTTTTCCAGGATTAGAATAAGGTTTACTTTCTAGCGATGTCATCTTGTGATACATTGCACCCAGCAGGATAAGAAGGAATAGCTTTCATTCCTTCCCAACCCAAATCTTATCCGCTTCCCTAAATTTCCGCCTGTATCTCCACCTCGTGAGCCCATCTCTGCATTCTTCATGTGCACCCTTCGCCTGTACCCTTAGCCTGCATTTTCAACCTTCACTTCCCGTCTGCACCCCCATTTGTTTATTTTCTCTACGTTTCGTCCTTTTTCTCACCAACTCCTTCCCACAAGAAACTTCATCTAAATTCTTCAGGTTAAAAAATTACCTATAATGATATATAGATTTAGGCGCTAAGATTATCAAGTTCCTTCCTGCCCAAATGTAATCATCTAAATGTGCATCAATTTAACGTACTAATCAAAAACTGGTTTCGTGAAGGTAAACACGCTTTATCGGCCTGCAGTTGATTGTTTTAAAAATACAGTCAGTCTCTATTGATGCTTCTTGCTAGTATATATATTAGTATTCAAAATGTTGAAACATTTATCATGTAAAGTCGTGTTGTACGTTGCACAATGTTTTTTCAGCAACCACACCTATATTGCTCTATTTACAAGACATAACTATAGCCTTTTATATAACCTACATGACAACTTGCCTAGGATACCGTACATTAATGTTCTCAATACACTAATTGGTGATCTCTCTTTATTAAGCCTTTGATGTCAATGCCTTCAGCAAAGCCTCCTGCACGGAGTGAAAGTGTCTCAGACCTGCAAAGCAAGCCGCAAGTTAAGCGACCGTACTCGTCCACAAGCGACCGCATTCGGTGCGGACAGATTCATGCACTCGCAAAGCATAAAGGGATTAGTAAATCGATGTCGTCATTGTCCCTGGAGGCGCAGAAAGTACGCATTAGTCCTTCTTATTCTTAGCCTTAATTAGAGTTGTTTGCATATTTATTTATTATATGCAAGCATTGGATACAAAGAATCATCACGGCAACACGTATATCATGTTGCTTTATTTTCCAATTTGCACGTGATTGAGAGATATGATTGAAATCTAAGTAATGTGACAGTGGAAGATATTCTAGTTGCTCCTGACTCACAATATCCAGATTGATTGACACTTGAGCCAGGAGCTGTCTATCTCCCTTCTTCTTCCCATACGTGAATTTTTAGTGTAAGGATTGCCCGAAAGTAGTGGTCGCGTTGTATCGACCCAAGGGTCTTGGGTTTAGCGTCCCTGTTATGACATCTGTCACTTGCAGTAAGGAGAGTCGCCAGCCCTCAATTTTTCCATGCATAGGAATCACAAGGTGTGGCCACATCAAGAAGTAAGAAAATACAAATACAACAGTGTGGCAAAGCGAGGAGTTTATAATGATATATTTCTAGAAAATCGTCATCATAAAAATATATTTTGACAATGAGCAGAAAGAAAACAGTGAAATGCCTCTAAATATGCAAAATCATTTAATTCTACTACGCATTTCATGAGACATTGCTAGTTAAAGATTTGAAGTTTGCTAACGGATTACTGTAATTTTGGTTTGGTTCACTAGTTCTGGAACCAGGGCCAAACAAGTGGTTTGATGGGGGAAGGGGGGATGCCTGTACTCATGTGTCCATACCTCTGGCCGTTTGTAACCGATCTAACTAACCTCTCAAATTCAGGGATATTTTATGATTTGCTTTCGGGCTATTTGTTCAATGTTAAAAAACGTAAGAATAGATTTTTGTGATATCATCATTTTAGTACTCTAAACGGATTCTGTAATGTGAATAAGTTATTTGAACCATGTTAAGATTCTCATCTCTATCTATGCAGCAAGAGGATCAGTCTTCAGCCAACTGTTTTTGTGGTGATGCCAATGAACTTACAAGAGAAAGCTTGCATGCCCTTAACAATATGAAGATAAAGTTTCCCGGAAAGTCGAATGAGGAGGCATCCAGGCTGCTTGATAGTGTAAGTTTTTTGCCTTTGAGACTATCTTTGTTTCCAAATTTAAAAATACGTTTCCCAAACCCGAACGAATTTTTGTCAGTAAGCAAAGCCTTAAGTTGCAAAAATTCTTGTAAGGTGCATTTATTAATCTCTTTCTGCAGGTATGATGTCTACCATATGTCTTGAAACACCAACAGAATTTTTTGTCATTCACATTAACTGTTTCCCCTTTCAAAAAATGTTTGATGATACTTCAAAGAAATACACTATTTGATCTCAACTGTATTTTGGATCCCAGAATGGCTGGGGTATACTTCAAACATTGATTTGGAGGGAAAGAGGCCAACTCAGTTTTTTCTACAGGGTGAATTGAAAATAGATCAAGAATTAACTGAAACTGCACGGGTGTTATCAGTACTTTAAGCAAGCATTGTAGAATGAAATATGATGAAGTTTTATTTTTATATCCAGATAATGGAAAACTGGAAATACCACAAACCAAAAGTTGCGTCATATTGGCTAGTGAAACTTGATTCCGTCAAGCGCAAAAAGGTTAGTTATTTTGCCCCGTATTTTTTACCGTATTCTCTTGCAGGTGTAAAATGTCCTGAATTATAATTGTACATTGAAGCGTGCATTTGAGCAAAACAAGTTGTTTGCCAAGACTGAGTTGCAGGAACGTAAATTTACGGATATTTTTGGAAGGTTATATTTCAGACTGACATTAATCCAATTATCATTTTGTACTAAAATTGCACTGAACCGTTACTTGCGAAACATTAATCTTACAGGTTTCGGTCGTTTCCTTTCTGAATTGAGAAAATCCTCAACATTAGCGTTATGTTATATTACTCTCTGACGTAAGTAAGTGTTGGAATTGCGACTTAGATTTTTCTGTTACTCTCACATAGCCGACTTAAGGCCGATTTCTGCTAGGCGAATTCTTCCGCGTGATTCGAATAAATAGTCGAAGCGATAGAGTAGGACCGTGATCTACTTTCTGCGAATCGAATTTTTTTGTTGCAAATTCTGAGAACATTACACCACGCATGCTCACATTGGCAAAAATTCGATTCGCGCGAAAGAATTCGCCTAGTGGATATCGCCCTTTATTCAGGTGGTTTCAAAGATTGAGGGTGTGAAATGTCCTGAATTATTATTGTACATTGAAGCGTGCATTTGAGCAAAACAAGTTGTTTACCAAGACTGAATTGCAGGAACGTATATTCACGGATATTTTTGGGAGGTTGAATGTTACGAAATTTTTGACTGACATTAATCCAATTGTTATTTTGTACCAAAATTATAGTACGCCTTTACTCACACAAGACCTTAACCTTATATTCCTTTATGCATTAAGAAATTTCTTGCCATTAACATTATGTTATGTTATTCTCTGAGTTAAATAAGCTCGGGAATTGCGACTTAGATCCCGATTACTCTTAATTTGCCGACTAATTGAAAGGATTTCAAAGAGTGTGACTTCCAACCACCACCCCACCCCCCCCCCCCCAGCACCGCAATGATATACGTTCCTGTTGAGTTGAATCTGGTACCCATGTTTTGGGGGACTGCCATTTACTACATCGGAGATCAACAACCATTAGACAACTTAGAAAATTCTGCATTTCAAAATGTTAGCACTTTAGCTTGTTTTTAAGATGGATTTTAAAAAACGTTGACACCACTGCCTTCAACCAGATTATTAGTAAATTACAAAGAACGGTTGGCCTTTTTTATTTTGGCAACTTTGTTGATTTTCAATTTTTTCTTGCTACCAAAAGCGTCTGATTTGCCAACATGTACTGCATGCTACACATATGCTGTCAAAAGCTTTTGCACCTCTCACTTCATCGAGAAGAAAGCATTCGTGTTATGAACGCAAACGCTTGCGTCATTGTAATCCAAAATATTGTACTTTAGCACCATTCTGTGTAGCTATGGTGTTTTCATAAAATCAAGCAGCCCATTGCAAGATGTCCCAATCAGATGAGCTTGAGTATACGCAGGATTATTTTAAATGCTGTTTTAGTTTCGTTGCAGCTTCAATTGAATTGCATGCAGGTTAAAAGTGACTGTACCGTCTAGATATTACTGCCATCCCAACGCTACTATGTCCCCGTTTACATGAGCTCCGGCTAGATTACACTCCGGGGCAGGTGAACACGCTGCAGTAAAAAATAACGTTTACGTGAGCCCGGGTTAGCTGGTTTCTGTAGATGGTTGACCTCAGCCGGGTTAGCTTAGAAGTGTTTACATGACCCCGGGTTTAGCTGACCCGACTTCGCATAAGAAAACTTCAAAAGCAGGCAATCCGTCACAGCAGGTCAACCTACTGTCGAGAAGGGTTGCCTGGCAAGGCATGTAAACGTTGAAAAAGATTTTAGCGTAGACGGGTTGACCCACTAAGGGTGGTGGCAGGAAACCCAGGCTCTTGTAAACGGGGCCTATACAGGAGTTGAAAGCAAACTACGAGAGGCAAATTGGGCTTCCATCAGTCTATGCTCTTATGATCGAAATGTTGTTAATGCCTCTTATTTCAAGCAAGGGGCTTACCTGTGCCAACTTTATTTAGAGGCACCCCCTTAGCACCCAACAACAGTACAAGTGAGCAATTGTCACCAATGACAACAGAGGCATATTTGGTTTACTTTCATCTAGACAGAGATAAAAGTAAGCTTGGTTCAAATTCTGGTGTTTCGATAGAAATCCTTGCCTGGATTTGCCTTTTTTAATTACTTTTGCTTGGGAATAAGACACTATATCCCTCGCTGAAGCGGTGTTCTCTGTACCACTTAGCTGCTTGCAGATATTCACTTATAATCAGATGTGCGTGTTGTGGAGGATTTCCCATTAATCGAACGTAGGTTAAAGTAGCTTTATAAAGCTGTTTTCTCCTGTAGAATATCCCTCGGTCCCTTTCTGTGGTATTTTGTCTGCTTCTCGTTGAACCAAGCTGATTCCACCTTTGATAGTCTCCAGAAATCACACTTCATCCTACACAATCTGCTTGAAATCCTAAAATCAGAAAGGGATTTTGGTTAATTTGAAACACTGATTATAAGATTGAGTTTTAACTCCAAACTTAATCTTTATTTTTATGGAGTGCTATTTTTGAATAATAAGAGATGCTTTTTGCTCGAATCTTCATGCCATTTAAGATACCGAAGCCATTTTTAAGTTTTTCACACTACCGCTAATATATTTGAAGTGAAATTTATGAATAACTATTAGGGGATAGGTTGTGGGATCGAGGTTTCTTTATTTACAGTTAGTTCGATTTTCCAGAAGCTTTTCTTACACAACGGTTGCTTATAAAGTTTTATAAATATTCTTTTCTCGTTGTTTTACATATATAGCTGCTAGTTTTTGTGCGTTCAAAGATTTCATCTTATTCTGCCTTTATTTTCACTTTCTTGCACTGCTATTACCAGCCATTCACTTAAGTGTAAGGTATCTTAATCACAAAGTAAACAGGTCTTATCACGGTTATAGCTGAGGAGTTCTTATTTGTATTCAGTTTATTTGCATCTCATTTTTGTGCATTTGCTTTAAAACTTCTTTTTATCACTCTTTTCAGTCAAAACTACTAGATGTCTTACTTGTTTTATGATGCCTTCTTAATTAGGTTTCCCAGACGAGCCTTCTCAAGTATTTAAATATTTTATTCAGAGATGATAAAATACTTGTATAAGATAAAGTGCCACTGAATTTTCTTGTTCGTGTATTTTCTTGTTCGTGACATTTGCAGGTCATCGATATTGTCAAAGGAAATGTCCGTGCTATAATACAAAGAATTTGGAGGGTCCCAGATGTCGATTCCTTGCGCCTTTGTCGAATGTTCAACAAAATAATGAACAGGCTGCTTGCCAATCATGGACAAGGGTTATGGAATTGTTTTAACACCAATGGGTATGCTACTTTCATTTAGTTTTGTACAAAAGGAGACTTATAAGCAGCAGAGACGGAAGGTGCCATATAGGCAGCAAACGTGTCTTTAGCATCCCACCAAAAATTTTGTGAAACACCCAGATGCTGTAAAAACTACATTTTAGAAATAAAGCCACACATTCTTTTTTCGAGTTTATCTTTCAACCATTTTTGTTGATCTTCACTTCTTGTTCACTTGTGAGCTTTGCCTTTCAATGTTTCAAATTCTTTGAAATCGATTTTTGAAAAAGCTGATACTATTTGACAAACTTTAAGCTTTCTGCATGTTGGCCCCCCTATGGTCTTAGAGACTACAGACATACAACTCTTATTGGTTGTTTTCTGTTTATATTTTGATACCACGTCTGTACGTAAAGTCATACATATTATATCTTCCCTGGGTACATCTTTATTGAGATTTATTGTTTTCTAATCGCCGTAGTCTTCTTTTGAGATCACATTTGAATCGCCCTTATTATGAAGTATTGTTTACAACTGAGAAATTGTTTGATAGTTCCTATTCAGCTTTATACTGAAGGAGGCGTAGGGACTTCTTTCATGTAATAAGGCTATACTGCAAAAATCTATGTTTGATGTCCTTCAAAGATATACCGCAGTGGATAAACACTGTTTAAGTGATATTATTTTGTCTTTGCCTAGGGACTCTTGGGAAAGTGTAATAAACAAGGGAACAGAGAGTGTAACAACGGTAAGGACCTATTCTCCCAAACTTATGAGTCATTTTTACGTTGTATCTAAGGGCTCTGTTTAAACGAAAGTATCGTCTTTGAAGTTTTCGTCGTCTTTGCGTGGTCTTTGCATGGTCTTTGCGTGGTCTTTGCGTGGTCTTTGCGTGGTCTTTGCGTGGTCTTTGCGTTGTCTTTGCGTGGTCTTTTAAAATCACAGGAGGATTTTGAATCATCTAGATTTTAGCATCAATTTATCATTAAAGCCAAATTGCCATCAAATTTAATTGCATCACAAAGTAATTGAAGTAAAAAACCAAATCTTTTTCCAAGAACTTCTTTCGAAAAACCAGTCTTGAATATTTCATGAAAATAATAAAACTGACAGTGAATATTTTTTAACCTCAATTTGTTTGATCTACAATTTTCTCTTATTTTTCATGCTCTTTTCGTTTATCTTGAGGCTGCATTTACAGTAAACTTTATTATAATTTCAAAGATTAATAGCCGAACATACACACACCTGATATATTTGATTCTTTTATAGCCGTTTGATCTTTATGATTACTTGCATTAAAACCTGAATCACTCAGTAGCAACAGATTTTCAAAAGAAAGGAGTCTAAAATTGAGCCCTTTTGGAGCAATATTTTAAACAGAATTCATCATTCTGTTTATAGCTTTCTCTATTCTCTATTTATAGTTTTTTATACTACCAGAGCATAACATTACGTCTGAAGCGACTTTAAGTGTCATGTTATTGATTTGGCAGCTTGAAATGAACTGTTGCCGAAGGGTGGTGCAACTATGTAGAGAATGCCTCTTGGTCGTATACGAATTCGCATCTCAAGCAGAAGCATCTCAAACGAGTTTTCAACAAAATTCCGCATCTTTTAACCCAACAGAGTCGTTTCACAGGTTTGTCATTTTAAAAATTCAGCTATAGCGTTTTATTATCTTCTTTTGTATAGCTTTTCGATGGGAGTGAAATGGTGTTTCTACAAACGTTGGCAAATGTAGCAAATCTTTGCTTCACCGAGAATTTTGTTTTAAGGTCACGCCTCCATAATACGCCCATCTTGTTGAAAAATTTCTTATCTTACAACTCCCTCTAATGAAATCAAATTTGAATTTCTGTAAGCTGCAAGTCCAATGAAAACTCACCTATGTTTCTATCAAGTTATCCAATTAAAAAGCCATCATCCGAAAGCAACGCCCATTGCCACAATGATGTTTTCAAAATTTGGTGTTTTCATGTAAACTTTCTTCAAATATTCGTTTTTTGTAACCCTATCTCGGTCATGTAATCATTTGTGGATAGGCTATTGCGATTCAACTGAATTTGAGAGAATCTGCTTTATATCGTAAAATGACCAAAATTTATATTAGATTTGGTTTAGAACATTTAGATGTTTAGTTAATGGTTGCAGGTGAAAATTAATGTACTCATAGTGCTTCATATTTGTATCAGAGTGTCTCGAGTTGTTTTGGACATCTTCAATTCTGTGTCTTTTTGTGAAAATTAGAGAAATTTCCCCATTTACACCATCCTGACCCCCTTTATGACCAAATTTTTGCTGACTTGTGGATTTTAGCTTAATATATTTATTGTTATTTACAGGTTTATATATATGAAAGTTTGACTTCTTTTAAATCTTTGCAAAAGAATAGGGGGGGGGCATGGCTCACAGTCATCCTTGGAAATATGATGTCTGTTATAGAAAAACTAACAACCACTCACTCTAGAATTCGCATTCGAGATCTTAAAAGCCTACCTTTTACGCATGATAATGTAAAAGTAGCTTCTTTATAACGCTCTGCATTGAATTTGCTTTTGCCATCGTATCCCCTTTTTCCCATGGTTTTGGCCTCTCTATTAATCGATACGTAGATATTGTTTTATATTTACCTTTAATCATCTTTTGCAGCAAGCCAATGCATCATATCAGCAGCCGATTTTCCGCAGGCCAGCAGTTCTCTGGCCAAAGGTATAGTAGAACTGTTCAAAAAATAGACCATAGATAGAGGGAGAGATCTTTATCAGCTAATAAATTACTTTTTTATTGCTATTATATATTTTATTAGGGTTCGTAACTTTAAAGTAAAAGAGGGGAAAACAATTCTAATATAGAATTTAATAGATATATTTTTAACCTATTCTCGTCGCTAAATGTTTCTGAACGTTTTAAGGTTTATGAACTTAAGGTTTAAGGTTTAGCTTTCAATTTTGCTGAAATGTTCGCATATTTTTATTCCAATTTCAAGACCAAAACGATTACAATTAATCGATAGCAACAATTGAATAATTTTGTAGTTTTTAACCTGTTTAAAATTTGCCATTATTTTTATCATTACCCTGCAACATGTTTCTAGTACAGAAGTTTTTCTAGAAACTTGAACTTTCTTGATGACCGCATATGATATATTTTTTTCGAATTCTAAGCTCTTCACTAAATGATTTATTAAGTGACTTGCTTCTTTATTTCAAACGAATCATTTGAAAATAAATAATTATTCCACCTGTACAAAAAGATAACCAGCATCAATTGGGTTTGTCCAACCCCCTTTATTATTTCTCTTTGCCTCAGCCCTTCTGAGAAATCCATCCATCCATGGTTATTAGTCATTTTGTAGCACCTGCTCAATAACAATGCTGAAACAGGTTGCAAATTCACATCCCAAAATCGAGAAACCTTTGAGAACATATTCTCCTATTGCCTTCTACTTCGATTTAGCTGTGAGCTTTATAGTTTGATTCAATACGTCTTATGGGTTATGTGACAATGAATTTTCGTCCCTATTTGTTTGATCATTACCAATCACGCTGTAAAATTTTTTCTCGATCTTTTTGATGCATAACCGTTCATTCAAATATCGTTTTTGAAACTACTAACAGATACACTGTAAATCTAGTAATTGATAATATTTTGTTAATAAAGTGAATCGATGTACATGCTCTCTCTATAGCTGTAAACCTCTTTTTCAAGGTGATTTTGACGATTTGAACGTAAACCGCACATGACTTTTTATCTTGATTTGAAAGCAATGCTTCAAATTTGTTCGCCTAAATTCGCCTCGTTTCGCCTCGATGTGCCTCGACTACCAGACGATATCGTGTTACCAAGTCATTGCTTGTTACGATATTTTAAAAAATGGGACAGAAAGGTGGAAGTATAACCACATGACTAAGTTGACTTTTCAGCCAACATTCGTCAGAGTATAAAATATAAATCTATCACTAGAGATTGATGGGATGTACTGCTGATTAACTAATAAAAAGCATGTTACGTCAAGCAGCTGCAATCTATTGTTCCCGTGAAATGCACAAGAATCACTCCAAGCTGACACTTTTTCGTTAAGAAATACAGAATTACCTGAAGTGTCAAGAGCGGTCCTTCTGCATCAGCACGATTCGCATGTTCTGTTTAGTTTTATTTGCAGCGATTAAGTTAATTTTAGAGAACACAATAGCTATACCCCAACAGATCTAGCAGCTTTTAGTCTTGTAGAACAACAAATATTATAAACAATGGTGCTCTATAGCACCTGTTGTTGCACTTTAAACAAAAGCGCCCAGTTATCTTTATCAAGAAATATTAAGCTGGCGACTTTGTCCTATGAAGTACCGTTTCCTTCTCAGTTACAATGTTAAAATTAACTGGAACATCCAGTAGCTAGTGTTGAGTTTTTACATTCTTCTTACCTAAAGCCTAGCTCACACAGCAGACTTTGTCTTTGAAAGACGAAGATTTTCGTCAAAAGACGTTCCAAAGACAGAAATCTGTCGTATGTGCTTGTCAAAGACAAAGATTTTGTCTTTCAAAGATTTCTGCCTTGTGCAGACCCAAAAGACAAAAATCTTTCGAAGACAAATTGAGTGGCCAATAAGCGACTAAGTTTTGATCACATGAAGATGTTCTCTTGAAACTTCCCTTCCTGTCTTTACTTCAAAGACGAAAATCTGTCATGTGCGGAATATGTGAATACAAAAATCTTCGTCTTTCAAAGACAAAACTCTGCCGTGTACGGTGGGCTTAATACTACTATCTTTTGCGCCCCCTTCCCCCAGAGCAATATTAATTGCTAAGGTGAATATAAGACAAGTCACGCGACAAATGTGCTTCCTAACCTTCTACATCGTTCCACAGTATACCAACATGCTCCCTGGGTGAGTGAGAGATGACTAAATTTGCCCTTAAAAGCTGATATAGTGTTCCAAGACTTTTGATAGTGACTAAATGCGTTTAGTATATAAATTTTATGAACTTACAACATGGCAAAACAAAAGAGGAAAATAGAAAAATTTGTTAGCAGGTGATCTTGAAGATTCAACATGCTTTGATTGAAACGTAAACCAGTTCCATTTCAGCTTTACTTCTAATTTATGATTGTTTTCGGTTAACCCAAAAGTTTAAGAAACTTGAAATTCTTTGAATACTCAATTCGCATAATAGTTTAGAAACTTTTAGTAATCGGCGATGTTTAAGCTTCTCATAGAACTGAGTGTACAAGAGTTTAACATTTATTTTTTATTAGGGTTTTCAAGTTCCTTGCAGAAAGTACGACTTGTTTTATAATTAAAAAACTAATTTTTATACAGCTTGATAAGCGCGATTGTAAATTCAATTTCTATTTGGTATTGCCAAAATTTATTGTTTCAGTTCACATAAATAAACTTTGTCAAATTAGCTCACATAAAAACTGAAAATTGTTTTTAAATCAAGACATTACCAAACATGAAAATTCTATAAAAGAGTAGCATAGCTTAACTCAAAAAGATTAAGGTTTGGCTCATTTTGTTTTGCTTCAATAATCGAGTTCAACAGGCTTGCTAAATTAACTGCCCTGTTTTTCGAATTTCTTTTAATCTTGCAGCCGGGGTTGCATTTAGTCAGACACAATGCGTTCTCCAGAGACCAGCAATAATTGTCACTTGAGAATTGTTTAGACACTGGTTAATCTGCCTTTTTTATCACCCATTTTCCGTTTGTTCCAGGTGATATCGGAACTAGTGAAACAAAATGGTTCCTCGTGACATGCCATATTGACGGGGGTGAACACCATCATCATTTTAAGTAAATTTAATTTATGTACTTGATATTCTACATTTTACTGACAGGGGTGTTTTCCAATATGGTCTTGTCCTTTTTTTAAACCCATAAATGGCATCAGACGTTCTTTCTAGGATCAAGTTTCTAGAATAAGGACAAATTATAAGCAGGATATAATTGATGAAGTCATAATTTATGCAATGAACAAACCCTTAGGGGCAGCAAATCATTCCATGAAAATCTTGTACACTTTAGTTGAGTATCTTTCCTCTTATCTGAAGATCCCTGGAAATCTTTTTGTTTTCGCAGAAATCTTGCAGGAAAATCCAACCGTGTCCGTCCGCCATGGAAGAATGAATCAATACTTTAGATGAAAATTAAATCAACAAAATGCAGAAAGCAAGGGTTACTGCTATTAATATGTTTATTTAAACATCTTTCGCTATTAAAGTCTTTCTTAGAAATAGCTCCAAAGTTTCTATTTAAATTTTTCATTTCTGTCATATTTTTTTATTGTTCTGTTTGGAATTTGTTTAACCTCTTCAAGAGTCCATTTGCACAAACAAAACAGCAGTTAAACTCGACTACTTAAGAAAGCGTGTAGGAGGGTTTAGAATCAAAACTATGACATACTTATTTTTATAAGGGTACTATAAATGTTGTCCAGCCTCGAAATTCTCAAAAGGTTTTCGTTTTGATTCTGAATATAATCATAAACTGTCCTTACTGTTTTCAAATCTGATGTGGTTTCAGGGAAAAATCGCCCGCATTCGAGTAGAAGACATGCTTTTCGGGAAACAAGATGTCAATCGTGCGATGCTCTTTAACAAAAATCTCTAAACAGGCAACTGTTGGAAATTGAGACGAAATGGGCGATCTGAGGCTCAGCACTTTTCTAAGACTATTCTTAAAAACTGGATGTTTCTGAGCCAAAATAATTGTATAGAAAATATTCTTATAAAAAAAATTTGATATTAAACTGGAATTTGGAACTTTTAGGACCAGCGTTGTCTATAGATTTTAAGTAATGACTAATTTGCTTGCTATTGCTTTTTATGATTATCATATTTTATTGTATATTATTATCATGCCTGTAGTTGCCAACAACTTTTTGCTAGCAAAGAGATCCTTGTTTGCTGTAAAGCTGTTAAGTTCGTGATGTATGTTTATCGCTGACACCAAGAAAACGGGCTTTTCAACTTCTATCAAAATTTTTGTAGTTGAAAATAACACATTGCTAGTTTAAATGTCACTATGTTTTCTCCAATTAAGTATCTAAGTAAACTTGCAGATAATTTTCCCATTACTACAGGTATTATGATGCTAAAATTGTACTTTCACTCAACATGATGCAATATTTCTTATTTCTGCATGAATTTCTAGGCACGAGAATATATGGCCATATTATTGAAAGATGCAATTTTTCATATGTTAAGAGATTTAAATTGGCCGTTCCAGTATGGCGCAAAAACATATTTTGGATTTATTTTTACCTACTTTTCAAAACGGCAAGTTATTTGTCAATCACAATTTGCCTTTCAAAGAATTCTATAAATACTAAAAATGCATCTGATATTGACGCAACTTTCCTGTTTTAATCATGAATAAGTCTAAACCCTTGTGGCCCTTACTCTTGTAAACATCTTATGTTTACGCAAGAAAAGCAAATACAGAAACGGGGGTCTCTTATAAACAGGCAGTAAATGTTTATTGTGCACGCGCGACCCCCTTTCAGCTACTGCGATTGTCTTCTTCGTATGATTGGCCAGTGCGAGACATAAGAAGGAACAGCTGATAAGCGTGAACTGCATTCACCACTGGGAAGTTGTCGAGTGGACCTGCAACATCGAAAATTGCTACAGAATAATGGCTGGCATGCACGTTTTGCTGTTCGTTGATTGCACAAAGGATTTCAAAAGATCTTCAATGATAGTAAAAAAAATTAGCAAAGAATTGTTTGATCATGGTCATGAAGTTACAATTTTAGGTAATCACCACAACATTATTCTATTTTTCTTCTTCTTCATCTAGTCTGATCTGGGAAGTATTTTAGAGGTGCGCAAAAATTGTGAGTCTAAGCATTAAATGCACACCTGGAAGGACTTCTAGAGCCTCCTTCACAAAAAAATCGTGGCGAAAATTCACTTACTCCCCGAAGGTGGCCTCGTTTTTGTTTGGTCTGTGTTTTTTGTTTACTTCGTACTTCTTGAAAGAAACTGGCTGTTAACAGTTAAGATAATTTGGTCATTGTTAAACCAAAGTGCACATATTATCCGCAATGTAATATTTTGTATTGCTCCTTCTAGATTTGTCATAAAAAAGCACCCTTATTTCTCTATTTCCTCTGAAAGCCTGAGAGGAACTGAATGATTTAAAATTGGGTATTTTTTATGGTAAACACTAGATTTGCAACTACTTTAAGTATTTTTGTCCTTTGTTGCCAGTCTTTATAATTTTAGGCCGAAAATGTGCCGATTTTCTAACCTAAGTGTTTTTAACTGCATTTGCAAATTACATTATATTCTTAATGTATTCCAAAGTAACAATTCTCTTAATGTCTTTGTTTCGTTGAAATCTAGATAATTGTTTAAAATGCTTATGCTATGGTTAATTCTAAATGCAATTATTATTGCAATGCCAGTAAACTTTTTCTAAACAGATAAGCCTCAGTGGCCACGTTTCCATGTAAAAATTGTTCACAATACTTATTTTTAGATTGCCCAATTACAAGGTCTAAAAACCCCCAAGGAAAAAGAATGTCCCTTTAGATTTGCATTGAAATAAAAGCGGCTCTCTTTTCTACTCGCTCCTCTATTAATATGCTAATCCAGCGAGTCATAATGTGAAACATCAAGTAATTACTCAGCGTTCACAGTCACTTGTTTGGTTTAAGGAAACCT